CCAACTTCTTCAACATCTCATTAGCAATTTTATTTGACAATAAAAATGACATTTTGAGATTGATGTATTTCCATTCCAAAAAAGTAAGTCATCTCTCCTAAGTCAGTCATCTCTAACTCTTTGGGCATTGCCTTCTTAAACTCTTCAACCTGAATGGAATGTTTTTTGTCACCAGCAAATCATTTACATACAAGGAAACCATGACCACATCTTCATTAACCTTCTTCACATACAAGTATGCTCATTTGGACTCCTTGCATATCCTAGGCTGCTAGATAATCATTAATTCTGTTGTACCAAGCCCTTGGAGATTGTTTTAGGCCTATAAAGCCTTCTTCAGCAATAAACCTTATTTCTTTCCCTCTGACTTCGTGTCCCTCAAGCTGTTCAACAAAGATTTCTTCATCAAGCCAACCATTTAAGAAGGCTGACTTGACATCCATTTGATAAAATTTCTACTTGAATTGAGCTGCCAATGCAAGAATTAATTGGATTGTATCATGTCTAGCAACAGGTGTAAATGTGTCTTGAAAGTTTACACCATGTTGTTGTGCAAAGCCTTTGACAACAAGTCTAGATTTGTGCTTCAAAACTAAACCATCAGGGTTCAATTTTCTCTTGAAGATCCACTTAACCTGGATCACTTTTCTGTCAACAGGTCTGTCCATAAGCTTCCTGTTCCATTCTTTTCTATCATAGACAGCTTCTCTTGCATTTCAATTCTCCATGCCTCGACTTGGCTACTTTTGAATGGATGATGTTTAAGCACAGCTACATTGCATCTCCATAAATCTCAACAGAGGTCTGGTTCTCTAACTGAAGTTTCTCTTTTTTGCATCAGATATGTCCCATCAAATTGTTAGCAACTTGTTCCCTTTGCTGTGGCCTTATATCATCTTGAATTTTCTCTCTCCCAATTCCAAACTGACCTCTCATCAACCCCCACATCCTAAAATCACCATTTTTTTAGACTCTGGAATATAAATTTGTATGCCTTGGATTGGTGGCTGTAACCAACTAAGATTCCGCTTTAGCTTTGTCATCAAGTTTGGATCTTTTGTTGCTGGTATGAGGACATAGCATACACTCCCGAAGATTCTAAATGTCCACTTGAGGCTTGGCTCTATACCATGCTTCAAATGGAGTTTGATCTTTTAAAGCCTTGGTTGGAAGCCTATTCAACAAGTACACATTAGAGTTCACAGATTCTGCCCATAATTCCTTTACCAACTTCTTTTAGTCAGCATGCATCTTGACATCTCCATCACCGTCCTATTCTTCCTTTCACTCACTCCATTGTTGAGGAGTGTAAGGACAACTATACTAGTGCCATATTCTAGCATCCCTGCATATTGATTCAAACCCCATGAAGTATATTCCCCCATTATCACTTCTCACAGCCTTTATCCTTACACAGCTTGGTTTTCAACTTGAGTTTTAAACCTCTAAACACAGTAACAACTTCACCTTTTTGTTTTAGGGAGTACAACCCAAGTCATTCTTGAATAATTATCAGTAAACAAAGTAAAATACTTGGATCCCACAAGGATGGGGTGCATTGGTCCCACACATCATGTATACCAATTGGAGCTTTTCAGTAGCTCTCCGGGCCTGGTTTGTTGGAAAAACATGTCTGCTAAGTTTTCCTATTTGGCATGCTTTACACAAACTCTCTTTCTCTTCTATTTCAGGTAAGTATGAACCATATTTTGACTTCATTTGTCTAAGGCCAACATAATGATAATGACCATACCTTTTATGCCATAGCTCTGTGTCATATGAATTCACTGCCATAGCTTAAAATTCTGATTTTTTGAGTTCAACTAGGAAGCTCTTCCCTACCATTTTTACATAAATCATCACATTTCTCTCATTATCTAATATTGTTGTAGGATTGATTTTCAAAATGTAGAGTGTAGTTTCTTTCAAGCATTTGTCCTACACTAAGCAGATTTTGATTGATTCAGGAACAAACAAAACATTAGTAATGATTTTTGTACCTGTCAAGGTCTGCACAGTCACCTCCTCTGCCTTTAACCTTCACATAGTCACCATTTCCAACCTTTACTCTTGACTGGTATGATTGGTCTAGACTTACTGTCAATCACCCAAGCTCCAACATTGAATTGAACAACATAGCAAAAGGCCACAAATCTACTCTGATTCTGAATTTTGCTACAGACTCAGCCGTCTGTGCTTGTTGGTTGGCTGGTGTGGTTCATTTTTGCAGACCTTTTCAATGTGGCCGAATTGCTTACATGCCCTACATTGAATATTTGGTCTGAACCGACATTTACTCTCTGCAAGGTTCTTCTTTTTGCAGTGAGAACATGGTGGAAAACTCTTGGTTTATCCCACTACTGCTAGCTCTCTCCTTTCCTCTCTTATCCCAACATGTTTTCTGTTTCCTCCTGAGTTGCTTGCCCTTTTGCAGGACAACCAATGCTGCTTCACCATTGTCTTCCTGCCTCAACTTTCTTCTTTGTTCTTGAGCTTGAAGTGCATGACAAGCTCTGTCAAGGTGATCTGAGACAAGTCCTTGGAATCCTCCAAAAAGGAATTTTTTATTCAAACCTTTCGAGTAGACTCACCAATACCTTCTCTACAATTCATTTATCTATTATCTCCTCCCTTAGCAGCCTTATCTTGTTAACCACATTCATTAATCATCAACATACTCCTTAACCACTTCACTTCTTGCATCTTTAATGTCTCAAACTCTCTCCTTAAGTTCAAGAATTGCATATTTCAGGTTTGGCTACTTCCTTCAAATTCTTCCTTGAGCTTGTCCCAAGCTTCCTTTGCTGTCTCACAAGCCATTATCCTTGTGAAGACTTGATCCGTAACGTAGCATGTATATGAGATAGAGCTCTTGGAGCTTTTGCAGTCTCTTATTCATGGATTCTTATTTGATTCAAGGTAAGATTTGGCCCCAACTATGGCGGCTGCTTCTCTTCTTCTATGTACTGTTATAAACTCTGACCTCTTAGATAAGCCTTCATCTTATAGCCCACATATGTATTGTTCTCCATTGAAGGTTGGAGGTAAGAGTGAGGCTGAACTTGCTGCCATGAAGACTTTTGGTGTGGTGAGAGCTAACTGAGTAAGTGCTGAAAAGAAAGCTTTGCAAGCCCTTTGAGATCAAATGGAGCTCTGATACCAGTTGTTGGTTATTGGAGCTTTTAACACAAACTAATGCACGGGAGAGAACAAGAAGCAAAAGAGATGAGCAAGAGGAAGACTTGTTTTTTCTATATTCTCATAAAGAAGCAACAAAGTTTATACTTTAATCCTCTGTTATACCTAACATAAACATATTTTAATCCCAAAATACATCTTACCTACATCTTTAGCAACTCAAATTACATCACATTAACTTGATATAAGTAGGCAGCTTAATATATCAATTCACCAAAAACAATCACTTCAGCATGCCTAAAACCAGCTTTGGTGATTGCTCCCAGCCAACTTCACCACTTCAAATTCTGCTTTTTGCCGCCAGTTTCCGCTTTAGCTTAACAATCAAAAAAGGTTTGTTTCAAGCAAAATATCATCACTTTGACACTGTCATCAGTTAAGAGGAATTTTGGTTTTCAGTTGGATTTTCTACTTTCTCTGTTGTTATATACTTATATTGGAATATAATGGCTTTTAAGTACATAATTATAATATTGTATGGTGGAAGAGATAATTTATAAAGAATTTTGAGTGTTGAACGTCTATCTAACTCTTTGTGTTAAGGTAATCCTGCATTAGCTGAAAAGTTGAGCCCCTTATTAAACAATATTTGTTACTCGACCGTCGAATCCTCGTAAACATCATTTCTCCAAAATCCATTCCTACTAGGCATTTTTGTCTTTATCAATCTACTATTACCATCCAACCTGTATCAACTTTGTTGCTTATTATTGCTTACAAAGAGAGAAACACATTGAATCGACTCCATGAATACTTTGCTCTTACTCTCAGATTAGCCATTAAGCTGCACTTGTTTTAAACTTCATTTCACTTTAAATATTTTTTTTTTAATATATACTCTGTTGCTTCAGTTCACTTCTTCTGTCTTTTCTTACTCTTGTTTTTACTTTCAATTCTCTGTCAATTAACTAGATTTACTTTACTTTCAGTTTCCATAAATTTACTTTAAAAAAAAAAAAGAAAGATATTATCCAGCATCATTCTCAACTTTTCTGATTCTGATGCTGATTGATAGCAGAGATCTGTTGGTTGAAGCTAAGATTCTGTTTACGGAGCTTTCTTGTAAGTTTTTGCTTATTAATTCCGTTTCTTTATATCCAGTAGTATTCTTAAATATGTGGCTTCCTTTAAGATATTACCAGTATTGGGTGTGTGTAGTGTTTGCTGCCTCATTCACTGGCTAAATAAGGCTTCAAGATACATAGAAACAAGGTATATCATTACTCAATTCAACTGTTGCATACTTATCTATCCCATTTAAGTTTAAGTATACCCATTGGACTTATATAAACCCAAAATCTTCACATGGATCAATAATGGTTCAATTCCAGCGTTGATTTGTTATAGAACACCATATTATATAAATTAACCTTTGATTTCACTTTTATTAAGAAAAGTACTGGATCTCTTTATAGTAATTAATTAAAGATTATCCTATTGTTTATTAATATAATTTCTTATCTGCACATAATAATCATAATATACTCTGTTTAATCTTTTTCTTTAGTTCTTTCAAGAGTATTAATTTTATGTCATTTCATTAGCTTTGCTTTAATTCCTCTATCCATAACTTCAATTCTCTGTCATTTAATTAGATTTACCATATATTCGTATCCATTAAAAAAAAAAAAAAAACCAAAGTTACTATCCATCATCATTCTCAACTTTTTCTTATTAACTCCGTTTGCTTAAGGATAGATTATGTTAATTAACTCTGTTTCTTTTTCTTTGTTTCCTATCAACCGTTTCTCACTTTTTTCATTATATCCAAGTATTCATAAGCATCTCACAAGAAATAGGCAATGGCTCAAGAAATAGCTGTGGCTATTGGCGCTGATGTTGTAAAAGGGGCTACATCAGATATATATGGTTTGCTTAAACAGCAGATCTCTTATGTGTTCAAGTACCAGAACTACATCAACGACCTCAAGAAACAAGTTCAGGAGCTCATAAGTAAAAGACAAATGGTGCAAAAACCTGTAGAGTCTGCTGAAAGACAAGGGGAAGAGATTTATGAACTTGTTACAACATGGCTGAGTGACGTGCATAAGTTCACTGAAGGGGTAGCAAAATCTATCATTGAGGATGAAGATAAAGCAAACATGGGCGTCTGTTTCAAATTGGTGTCATGTCCTAATTTGATTCAACGTTACAGGCTTGGCAAAAAAGCAATGAAGGCCACAGTGGATGGTGTGAATCTCTTGGGAAAAGGAAACTTTAGTCATTTCTCCTACCGTCCTGCTCTACCGAGGACAGAATTGCATGTTAGAGGCTACGAGGCCTTTGATTCCAGAAAGCAAGTTTTGCAGGAAATTATGGACACATTGAAGGAGGCTAATGTTGACATGATTGGGGTGTATGGGATGGGAGGTGTGGGCAAAACCACACTGGTCAGAAAAGTAGCTTCGTTAGCCAAGGAAAACAAGTTATTTGATAAGGTGGTCGTGGCTGAGGTAACACAAACCCCAGACAACAAAAAAATTCAAGAAAAAATTGCTTTTGATTTAGGCCTGGAATTTATGCAGGAGAGTGAATATCAGAGAGGTGATTTAATACGAAGTAGGATAAATAAGAAGAATGTACTTATAATATTAGATGATATTTGGACAAAAATCGATTTGGATGCTATTGGAATTCCGTTCAGGGGAGATGAGAATCAAGGAAACGATGACAAGGTTGGAATTCCTTTTGAGGGTGCTGAGAAGGAAAGAAAAGATGACAAGATCAGGCGATGCACGGTATTGCTAACTTCTAGAAATCTGGATGTATTACGCAAAGATATGAAGACTCAAAAGAGCATCTCCGTTCATCCATTATCTGACGGAGACGCATGGAATTTATTTCGAAAGATTGTGGGTGATTCTGCAGAAAATCCTGATTTTAATCTTGTAGCAGTTCAGATAGTTACCAAATGTGCAGGTTTACCGATAGCTATTTCAACAATTGCGTCTGCATTGAAATATGAGAGTCTTAATGCTTGGGAAGATACCTTGGCTCAACTAAAAAGGTCTAATCCAAGATGCATTCTAGATATGAGCGAAACTTTGTACTCTACCATAGAACAGAGTTACAAATTTTTACAAAATGAGGAAGCGAAAAAACTGTTTCTTCTTTGTGCTCTAAAAGATGCAGGCAGTGGAACATTGATTGAATACTTATTGAGATATAGTATGGGTTGGAGTTTGTTTGGAGATGGTTATACATTAGAAGAAGGAAGGAATAGATTGCATAGGTTGATAGATCATCTAAAAGCTCGTTGTTTATTGTTGGATGACGGTGACGACAGTGTTAAAATGCATGACATCATTCATGCTATTGCTGTATCGATTGCATCAACAGATAACTTCATGTTTAATATTCAAAATGTCACTGGCTTGAAGGAAGTATTGGAGAAAAAAAAAGATTCAACCGCTATATCTCTGCCGTATAGAGATATTTTTGATGAGCTTCCTGAAAAGTTGGAATGTCCGAAACTCCAGTTGTTTTTTCTATTTATCAAAAACCAGAATCTACAGATCCCAGATACTTTTTTTGAAGGAATGAGAGAACTTAAAGTTTTAAATTTGACCGGAATACAATTCTTGTCATTGCCTTCATCACTTGATTGCCTAAAAAAAATTCGAACATTGTGTTTGAATTTCTGCCTGGTAGGAGATGTAGCAATAGTTGGAAAGCTGAAGACATTAGAGATCCTTAGCTTCGTGGGATCTGATATTGAACAGTTGCCTGGAGAAATCAGACAATTGACTCGGTTGAAGTTGTTAGATTTGAGCTATTGTTTAAACCTTAGACAGATTGCACCAAATGTCATCTCCTACTTGTCTCAATTAGAAGAGCTATATATGGGCGATAGCTTTGTTCAATGGGAGGTGGAAGGAGTCGATAATCAAGGACGAAGAAATGCTAGTCTTGGAGAGTTAAAGCGGTTGTCTAACCTAACAGCTTTACATCTTTATATTCAGGATGCTGGAGTTATGCCACAAGACTTGTTCTTTAAGAAGTTGAAAAGTTATAAGATATTTATAGGAGATAAATGGAAGTGGTCTGGTAAATATGACCTTTCAACTTCAAGAACATTCAAACTCAAGATCAACAATAGAATTTATTTGGGGCCTGGGATTAAAACTTTGTTGAAGATGACTGAAGATCTTTCTCTAGAGGAAATGAATGGTGTTAGAAATGTTCTTTATGAACTCGATATGGATGGTTTTCCACATTTGAAGCATCTGCTTGTAAAAGATGGTCTCAAGCTTTTATATGTCATTAAGTCAATTGCTCGGAAACTAGCCTTTCCCAAGTTGGAGTCCTTGATCCTTTGTAATTTGATTAATTTGGAGAAGATATGTCATGGCCAGCTCAATGCGGGGTCTTTCAGCGAACTAAGGATAATGAAAATAGAAAATTGTGATAGATTGGTGTATCTCTTTGCATCCTCCGTGGCAAAAAACCTGATTCAGCTACGAGAAATTGAAGTGAAAGATTGTAAGAACCTAAAAGAGATTTTTGGTGAAGAAAGTAAAGACCATTGTGGTGAAGACATTTTGGGCCTCAACAACCTAAAATCGTTGAAAGTTTACAATTGTCGTAGCTTGAGATATATATTTACTCCTATAATCTGGGGCCTTGATCAACTCCAAGAGATTGAAGTAAAAAATTGTGGTTTGATAGAAGAAATCATTACAAAGGACAAAGAAAAGAAGGCAACCATTGATAAAATTATCATCCCTCATCTGAAGTCGATTGTTCTTGAAATATTGCCTAACTTGACAAACTTCTATTCAGGAACTAACGATCTAGAATGTCCTTCCTTGAAAAGTATTACTATTGCCAACTGTCCGAAGATGGAGACATTTGTTTTCAAGGATTTGAAGGAGAAGGACCATTCTGATTATACATCACCTCTTTTCAGCGAAAAGGTTGAGTTTCTTAAATTATTTGCTCATATTTTGCATGACACATTTTTGTTTCAAGAATTTTTTACCCTTTCAATTATAATATCCTTAAAACTTACCAGAGTTACGTTATTATCATTAATTATTCCAACAAATAGAAATTCACTTTTCATGCATAGATGACAGAAGTTTGGTATTAGCTACTATTAACAATAGCTCTGCGCTTTCTAAGAAGGCAAAATCCCTTTTTATTTTTTTAAATTTTGATATTGTGTCCAGCAATCTTTGTTTGAAACCATGATCTTTGCGTTTAATTATTTTAATATAAAACTCTATGTTCTCTAAGATGTCAAAATATTGGTGTTCTGTTTTTGTTCCCTATAAACCTCAAGATTTTATTTGGTTTGACACCTATTCAACCTGACGAAACACTTTTTGATTGTGAGTCATATATAAACGCCCAATGTTTACATGATCAAATGTTTGCTACAGGTTGCTTTTCCAAGCTTGGAGGTGATGGTACTCTTGCACTTGGATAACTTGCAATTGATATGGCATCCCCAACAACTCCATATGAAATCCTTTTGCAAACTAAAAGAAGTGAGAGTCGAATTCTGTGAAAAGTTAAAGACTATTGTTCCATCTAATTCTCACGGGCTTCTCACCTTTTACAACCTGGAAAAGTTAACCGTTGAAAATTGTTGGAGTATGAAAAGTCTCTTTCCAATTACTGTAGCTACTGGTCTCATGCAACTTAATGACCTTTACTTATTCTCCTGTGGGTTGGAGAAAATTGTTTCTGAGGAGGAAGTTAACGGGGCCCCTAGATTTTTGTTTCCGCAATTAACATACATCTATCTTAGTTATCTACCGGAACTCAAATCTTTCTACTCAGGGTTGCATACAACAGAGTGGCCAATGCTAAATACTTTGGCTGTGTATGGTTGCAAGAAGATAAAAATATATGCTTCAGAATTTGCTTGCTTTGAAAAGGAAGATGATGGGGAAAGCCAGCCTGCCCTTTTTCCGTTAGAAAAGGTATGATTTAGTATATAGTCACCAAAAAATGCAACATATATATAAACATTCAGATTAATATTATCAAGCGGCATTCAGTTTAGTCTTCAATTCATTGGAAGGACAATGCTCCTGTTGCAGATGAAAATGTAGACTAAGAAGTTTTTTCTTTTATTTGATTATAAATTCATTTCACAAATCCGCAGTATGTTTCATCAGTTGTAATTTATTATTCATTTTGCTAATTAAATATCCTTTTTAGTTGTCTATTTTATGGTATTCTTGTTTGAAGTGTATACTTACGATATTTATTTATTTATTTATTTAATTATTTGCAATACATAACTAATATAACTAGTTTATGATTAACTTTAAAACTAACTACTGGTACTAACTCCTGCTTCTTAGTATATAGCATGTGACACCTATACTATATATGCATGTAAAAGTTGTAGTATTTATCTGTGTGTAGCGGTTGAAGTTGTTGATGAGTAAACGCTAACACCTACTTATTTGCTTGTTCATCAATTTTCAGGTCATGCCGAATTTGGAAGGGTTGGGTTTAGATGCACATGACTTCAGATTGACATTCCTCCACAGTGATCTAGCTGAGAACTTTTGCAAACTTAAAACACTTTCCGTGAGTAACTTTGATGATGAATCTGTTGCTTCTCTGTTTGATTTCCTTCAAAGGTTAAATTGTTTGGAACAGCTTGGTTTTTTTGATAATAATTTCAAAGAGCTATTCCCCTATGAACAAGGATGTATGTGGAAACAAGATACCCAAGTGGACACATTTCTTCAAAATCTTCAAATTCTAGACGTAGAGAGATGTCATTATTTGACAATTTTAATGCCTTCCGTAACGGCTTTCAAAAATATTAAAACTCTGGAGGCATTCTGTTGCAATGGATTGGTGAATGTACTAACATGCTCAGCAGTTAAAACTCTGGTCAATCTTACAACACTGAGAATAAGAGACTGCAATTTGGTGACAGAGGTAATAGCAAACGAGGGAGACAGAGAAGAAGAGATTGTTTTTGGCCAATTGAAACTTTTGGAGCTTTACTGCTTATCAAGCCTCACATTCTTCTGCTCAGCCAATTATTCCTTCAAATTCCCCTGTTTGGAGCAAGTTATTGTGAGTCAATGCCCAAAATTGGAGATTTTTTGTCAAGGAATGTTAAGCACACCAATGCTAAAGAAGGTACAATTGACGAAACAAGATGATGGGCGAGAATATTTTTGGAAGGAGGATCTCAATTCCACTATCCAGCAAATGTTCATAGACATGGTACTCAATTCACATAATTTTTCTATTTCCCCTTTCTGTCATTACTATTAATAAATATTATATAGTCATGGATATATGGTGATGATTATAAAAATCTCAATGATACCAAGTTTTAATTAATCCAATATTTTGGGTTTCACAGGTTGGTTTCCGTAACTTTAAACAGTAACAATTGACAGTTGCTCTGGTGTGCAAGCATTCATCTCTAGTTCTGTACGTGGTGACATGACATCATCAAGCAAAGAACACGAAGAAATGAATGCAAAGGAGAATTTTCTCGAATGCAATCTCTTTTTGATAAAAAGTGATATGTCCCCTTATTTTGTTTTCAATTTTTTTCTTTCCTATCTATTTTATCATCAAATCTAATATATATGTTTATAAGTTACTAATAATGGATGCTTATGTCGTAACTTATAAATGAATTCTTTAGGTAAGACTATTTATCTAAGTTATTTGTCAATTTATGATTTTAGTGTGGTAACATTATTTATGGTATGGATACTTCACTTTGAATATAGCATAATCATTTATGTTTAAATTTCTAGTGTGACGATTCTCTGTTGAAGTAACCACTTTCAATTAAGTCACTTTTCTATTATATCGTGTGGGCACTTTAGAGTCTAAGTGGTCACATGCATCTGGCAGATATTTTATATAACACGTATTGTATTTCAATATTTCATTGAAATGTTTTTTATTCTCTTTTGAGATATTATTTGTGGTCCATGACACTTATCATTTATTCATGTAATGTGCTAGAAAGTTCGTTTACAATTGTCGGTGATCCCAAGAGAATTGGAATAAACTTTTTTATAAAGGTAAAACCATAAAGCATCTTGTTGGCCACCTGTCCCCTTACATTGGCCGGATATTTTCTATATAATCTCTTCTTCAATGCAATATTATTTTAAGCCTGATAATTCCTTTGAAAGTACTCTGCATATTCTAAAAGGTTTCTTTTGTTTTACATCAGGTTTCGTATGCTTAGGTAGGCTTACAAATACCTTCATCAAATACTTTGATTTTGTCCTTGCTTCTACGTTGGTTACTTAGCTGCTGCTTGAAGCATTTTTGAGCTGATTCAACTGGAGTGCTATTTTGGTGATTGATCCTTGAAAGCTCCTCAAGGTTGACCAGGTGGTCTCATGCTTGTGGAGCTTGCTGTAGTAGTTCAATGTTCGACCAAAAGGTGGAGTTTGAAGCATTTCAAAATAGGGAGTATTCTTGCAATTGATTTTTTAACTTTGGCTTTGTAATTGAACTGTAAATGTTTACCATAGTGGATTAACTTCATCTGGACTTGGTCCCATGGATGTAGGCATTTTGCCGAACCATGTAAAATTCCTTGGTGTGCTTTATTTTATTTCATGAATGACTGATTTGTAACGATGATAAGTGAACGCTAAAATCAACTTAACAACTCATTCCGCTTAGGTTTAATCCACTTGGTAAGTGATTAAAACTTTCACCTTAGTTTGGAAAGAGTTTAGAGAGATTGCAAATCAGCTATGCTGATCAGTTGGTAAAAATATAGGACCATCAAATCGGCTCCATTTCCCCAGGTGAAGAGAGACTTTGTTTCTGCCATCTTAGTTGATATTATCTTCACATTCGGTTGAAGGTGGAGCGCCCTCTGTTTATGCATTTGTGCTGTTGTTGTACTTGTTGGATTTGTATAATGTATTCCAATTTCTCCAAGTTGGCAAACACTTTGGACAAACAAGACGATACAATATGCAGTTTGTTAACTTCTATGCTCGTGTGCATTATTGAATCTTCTTTCCACCTTAAAAGAAGAGGGAATTCGAAGCTTTTAGATTGAAAGCCTATGTTCTCAATAAAAGCTTAAAACAGACATGACCAACTGGATATGATTTTATACAAAACACCTTATGATTGGGATACCAAATATTTTCCATCTTCATTCTTAAATCCTAAGTAAAGGCTTCTATCCTCATAGAGACACCTAAGTATCCTCCATTCCGTATTCACCTAAACAGTAAACGGTGAAATCAAGAAACATAAGCAAAAAAAAAAAAAAAAAGACGTTTCACGTCAAAACAAAGCAAGTGCAAGAACTTGTATCAACTTATTAAGATGGCAATTAAACAAATCAAATTGATGTTCAATCTCATATTCAACCCAAAATTCGAGGCTTCTCTTGCTCCATAGAAAATACAAATCAATATGTCAAAATGACGGCATCTTTGAGCTTGGAACCAAAATTATAATGAAAAAAAATGAGAATTCCCAAGTAAACTCATTGATACACCATTATAACAACAATCTCAAGTAACTTAGGCAGTGTAAAAAAACAAACCCATACAGCCAAAGTCCTTTTCCCCTCAAGAGTGTTCCAAAACCCTGGAGGCCATAACAGAGCTCAAGTAAACACTCCATGTACACCAACTCCGTTTCTAAGTTCGTACAAAAACCTATGCTGTCCACCACAGATACAAATATGTACCACATCATAACACCACAATCTCTCCACTCTTGGCACGTGGCAATCTTCTTGTCGCCTGCATAATTGTAACTTGACACATGGCCTACTAGAAAGGCAGCACGATAGAAATCCCAAACTAGAACACAATGCCATTAACTTGCATCCTTAGCAATTCAGCCTAACAAATCTTTGAACAAGTTGGGGTTTTGACTGGTTGGGGTCACACCCATCTGCCTCACAAGAGCATCCTTTTCCAATGCATCTTTGGTGTTTGGACCTTTACTAAATTGTGTCGACTGTGTTGTTGCAGTTCCTTCATGAGCATTTTTGATAGTTGGATTTGACAACCCAGATAAGAGATTGACATCAACACCACTTCCATTCCCACTCCCACTCCCAGCTGTCTCCAAACATAGTCCCATAATCTCAGGTGCTTTGTCAGTACCTGCTGCATTGTGATTCACACTTGAAGTAACTTGGTTTGAGTCAAGCAGCCCTTCCAACTGCTTAAATGGATCATAGGATTGTGCACTACTAGGAACTGTTGGATCGCCCAAGTCGAGCAAGTCTGGTTGTGGTTGAGCAACTGTTTTCTCTGCTGCACTTCTATCCGATCCTTTTGACACCTGAGGCTTCTCTGCAACATGGCTGCCTGCCTTGCCAGTCTTATGCCCAGTTGTAGACATTCGCCTTTCAGTTTTTGATGAACCACCAAACAGTGACGCAGCAAGCTTCTGCTTCTCTGGAGAAATTTCAACTTCTGCTTTCCTGGAATCATATGAGGTGTCACGTGCCCTTGTGCTTACAGTGCCTGCTGCATCTACTACTTTTGTGACACCATTCACTGATTTCTCAGGAACAGAATTTGAGGTTGAAGTTTCAGAAGAGGAGTAAGTAGGCCTACCCCACTTCTTTTGGACCCCATCAAGTCGTAACCTGAGATCCAAAGGATCTGAACTGGATACAGATGGAAGAGATGCTACTTTCTGGGTTTCCCTAGGATAGGATGGCTCAGGCACTGGAACAAGTTCAGTAGATGATGCAAGGGAAACTGGAGGAATCCTTGATGACACAGTTGGCTTTGGAAGCTCATATGCCTCAAACCGAAGACCATGCATTGAAGATTCCTGGTGCTCTTGGGTTCTAAAATTGCTGATAGTCGACATCCCAGAACGTTCATTCTCTGGAATATAGAGCTGAGCCCCTTTCTCCAGAGCCTGTTGTACATAGCCACTGAGGAATGAGAGATTTTTATCAATCTGCAAGAAAAAAATAAAAATAAAAGATATTACCATTCAGATAAAATTATGGCAAGAATTTGAGAACAATGTCAATCAGGTGCAACATGAACATGAAGATTGATTAAAACCTAAACATAGAATTCAGTGCTTCATTTATTCTCTGTAAATACATCCAAAATATTCGTGCTCTTCCAAGCACAGTAGATTCTCACAAACATATTTCCAAGATGAAAACCAGTCATGCAATTAACAAGACCACGATGCATACAGTCCATAATATTTGAAGTAAATTTAGCAAAAAATAAAATTGATCTACAGCAATAACATTAAGAGAGAACCCAATATTATAAAAAGACAACAAACTACAACAACTGAGAACAGTAGCCTAATAAAGAAAACTATATTTCAGTAGAGGACAACCATGACGCAGAAATACTGAGTATCAACACCTAGTCTATGAATCTTGGCACCACCCTACAGGTGGAGAAACATATTTGCAGAATAAGAAAACGTATATAAAGCCACATACTTATATACAAGAAAATTAAAACAGATGAACAAATTCAGTAACTATATCTGACCTCAATATCTTCACAACTTGCATCTGAGGGCATTATAATCTCAACAGCATGAACATCCAAGCCAATGACAGCTTGGAGTTCGTATGCGCGTTGCTGCAAGTCTGTTGAGTGTGAAGCTGATAATTCCTCAATCAAAGACTGACACTGTAGCACACGAAAGAGTTACTACAGTATCAACAATGAAAAATCCATTAATGCAGACAGGACATTGATATTAATACCCATAAATAAAAGCAAGGAAAACTATAATCACTAAATATGGGAATCATTAATATCAAGTTAAATTTCTACAATAACAGGAAAGTATACCAAAATTTAGATAAAGACATTTGATTTCTGATTAACTGGGGAGAGAGATTCAATTTCTGATATAATAAAAAAGAAAAAGAGAGTTCATTTCATGTCTTGTAACTTTGTAAAACATCAACTCCTATTAGATATTCTGACACTCTTAAGGGTGATTTTAGGTGGAATTGTACTAAAACTGATATTTGATAAATTTATCTTTTATTAAGTTAAATGAGAATATTTAATACATTTTCATTTCAGGCTAAAGCCATCCACACGATAAGACTCCCAGAACATCATGGTGTTAGAAGGTATTAAAAGCATCATGATAAGAATGGCACAATTTAGCTGCTGTGGTTTCTTACTAACTACAGGTTCACAATAATGGTTTACCGTCTACCAGCAAAAGTACGTTGTTCTTTTGAATCCTTTATTAGGCTTCTCAAAGCCTTCACACATTAATGCATACACAATTCCTATATCTTTTAAGAAATTACATCAAATTTTGTGCAAAATGGTTAAGCATAGGTAACACGATTCTGCCCTCAACACATAATATTTCTTAGAAGTGTTGGTTACCTTTAACTGGCATGATTGTGTTGGAAGATGTGATGGTAAATAAACATGAAAAGTATGTTGACATTTCAAGTGGATAAAATTATGGACAAGGAATATATATATATATAGAGAGAGAGACAGAGAGACAGAGAGACAGAGAGACAGAGAGACAGAGAGACAGAGAGACTATAAAGGGAATATAGAGGAAGTACTGTATTCCTTGTACTAATTCCAATGTCATGCAAATACTTCATTAATTATTGTCAAACAAACTTGTCTACCGTAATGCGCTTGCAGATGATCAATTCCTGTAATATGTTGCAGGCTCAAGCAATACTCATGTATTCCAGAAATTAAATTCAACAACAAATATCAACAGAAGGATTCATGGTTCAGAAGTATTCAAATACAGTAACTCTACCAAATGTGGAAATCAAATAAAATAGCTAAGCAAGAAAACCTACCTCTGGTAGCATATCCACTTTCCTCCCAGCAGCTAATTCGAATGCATATATTTTCATTAGTGCTGTAACGGCATAGGCCTTCAAGATAAGCAAAAGGTTATTGCAAATTCAAGAACTTGAGAGCAGAAAGATGCACACACACACATGACTAAAATGAGAATTTCATCTCTATTGCTTATATTTCTTTCAACAATGTATCATCCAGAAGCAGTTAACAATCTGTTAAGTATCAACATAGACATATGCAAGCAACCAGAACTGGCATCAAGATTAGGAAAAACAGAGTCAACAAAAAATCTTCAAAAACTGTCATCCATAAGCAGATAATTAATCAACAATTGGAACAAAGTATGAACAAAAGATGGATAGTAACTTTCTGACAATACACCAGAGATTGCCGAGTGCTTTTTCGAGATAATATCATCCATCAGGGAGATAATGTCAGAGATTTTATTTAAGACCTACTAATTGAATTGACACAATTGGATGAGATAAAGACAGTTTTTTGAAACCAGAAAGCGGCTGTAAATTGAAAATAATTCTTCACAACTACAATCCATAATAAACCAAACTAAGAAAACCAAGCACCGAGCATTTAAGTAAGAGTGCAGATCCAGACCATTTACATTGAGACAACTTTCACAGTGATATACATACCAGACAGGACATAAAAAAAATGACCATGTAAGAAAAACTAATGCATCATTTTCCTATGACCTTGGTTACAGCCCCTGAACAAAACCTAAAATGCATGTCAAATTGCATATTAGATGTATTTGAGATATATGTCTAAGCATGCAAGAACAATGCATTTGAATACAAAAGTTTTCATAAAAAAGTTTCCCAATTTCTACAATTCAACTAAACTTCCACACAGAGCAGAGAAACATTTCAAATGCGAAAAATAGCCAAGGGACACCTTGAAAGCCACATAATATTATTGCCATCATACATGAAGCTCAGAAGCAATTACAAGATTTAAAGATGAAACTCAGATCGCAGAATTACAATGAACCAGGCACCAGATATACAATGTTACCATCACAAAAAGTTCCAAGAAAATAGTGATACCTTAACAGTTTCGTCATTTGAATATGCCTCTGCAACATCACATAATTTTCCAGTAATGTAGGAAGCAGAAAACTTTCCATCCGCGGTGCCATACTCCCCTAAGACCCAGCAAATGACCTGCAACCAAAACCAACAATTAAGAAACCTAACATTGACAGCCTATCTGGAATATAAATCGAAGAAAAGGAAAGCTATATGGGACAGCACGTACTTGAAGAAATACTGAAGGAAGCTTTGGCTCTCCAATAATCCGCAAATACGATTCCACCTACTCACAAAAAATAAATAAATAAATTCAAGTAGCTGAAGATGACAACCAGAAGAACTGCAAAACTAGAGAATAGATGCTATTGATCCATCCATCCATGAAAATCAAGCTTTTATCAAGATACCTTGGAATCTAATTAAAAGATGCAATAAAACTGTTTAAATTACAATAAAAACTCCTCTAGTGACAGTCTTTTAGAGCAAAACATTTGTAATGAAATGGTAAGGCATCAACTATGCAAAAATTTAAAAAAAAAAAACTGGACCATTCTCTTGCATATTCTGTAAGTTATTCAAATCAATAGGATAATCAGTTCTTCTGGTTTTGAGATAATTTGCCACCATTAGGTTAGTTACCTATTTAAATGGCATCTCTAAAATCCCAACAGATCAAAATACATGTAGAAAAATTTGCTGTTTCAATATTCTGGAGTTCAAAGCATTAGATGCTCATTAATTTCAGATTACAAATATTGATATTCCATAATGATTTTCCTTTTTGGAAGGTTGGCTGTATTAAATTTTCAATAATGACAATTGTCCTAGAAGAAATCATAATTGTGTGCATGGTTCATTGTACATCATACTAAATCCTAAATTATAGCTGCAACATGCTTATTTTGTGAATGAAATTTTGACATTTATGCGCCCCTTTTATGCATGCTTAAAACAAAATGTTTCGTAATTTGAATTTTCCAAAGCTATTTAATCAGATATGCAAATAATGTATGTGCATGAAAATGCAAGCAAGGAAACGTACAGCAGATGATCTTAGCTGACTATCTGCATTATCATCATCCTCCCCAAATCCTTCAGCTATCAACCGCATCAAGTTATGTGCCACTTTGATATTCACCAGGTCTCCAGCGTGCTCGAAGACCTTATTCATGGTCTGTATAGTAAACACGTAAAGCATGATAACAGTAAATTAGTATTGCGACCAAAAAGAATGAAATTAAACAAGCAATCTCGAGAAAAAGGCAACATAGCAGATACCTGGATAAACCAGTGGTTACTTGGTGCAAACTGCTCGGCTAGTTCAACACACCGAGATGCTATTTCGGTTTTGTAATGATTATCATTAATGCTAATCATGTAATCAATCATGCGGTCAACAATCACTTCCACATTGGAGGACTTTGTCATTTTATACAGTAGTTCAAAGGTTTTTCGCTTTAGAGTATCATCTGGGTCCTGTGACATGCACAAGAAAGTTTAAAAGGGCACCATATATTACAAAAATTGGCAAGATAAACCATAAAGATAAGTACAAAGAGGGTCCTAGCTAGTTCAATGCTTCGAATACAATTTCCCAGACCAAAAGCACGCATAAAATTAAACATGACTTCTTCATTATGCATTTCCAGTATTTCCAATTAGTAATTCATGACGACAAAATAAATAATGCAACATACAGTGGTGCATTTCATTGGTAAATATTCTGGTACTTGATAGTCCCACTTGCTTTACAGTTTTATAAAGCTGATAAAACACCTAAATATGGAGAACATTAAAATTTTGTATCCCACCCTCGCCATAATGATGACAAATATCATACTCAAACTACTTCATCTAATGCAACTCTCCAGCAACATAGCACAAGAGCATTTCCAACACGTAATATACACTCAAATAAATACACTTCAGTGCAATCTATTTATGCAAAGCCTACAAATAATTTCTCCCACACACCCCTTTCCCTTAATCAAGAGGCTTGAGGAATCTCTTTTTCTTCTCCAGCTTTAATCTCCATTTCTTCACCATGTTAAAAGGAAAAATAAAATAAGCGATAGTAAAAACAACTACACAGTCTGATTTTCATTCTGAAAGAAAGAGAGAAGAACCTAGCTACTCCAAGAAAAGTCATGTGATAAAGACTATATAACAATAGAAAATCATAAACAGTTTGCATATCAACATATAACATTTACATTCACCATGAGCTGAAACTAAATGGGTTGCCATTACAGCTACATCAACAAACTTGAATTCAGTAAATAATAGAGGGCAAGTAAAGGAAAAGAATACAGACCATTAACAATTCCAACAGCATTATGGACCCTAAACAACATTTATCTGTAAAGCATCTGAAAAATATTCCCTCTCACCTCTAGGCAATCAATGACAGCCAGCTGGTGTTGTTCAGCAATCTCTGGGCTAGTCTTTATTAGACGACCAAGTGCATCAATCCCCATGTATTTTAAATTATGACTATCACTCTGCCAACAATTAAGAGTGTCATAATGGGAGTAATCAAATAGAAGCCAAAACAATCTGAGATATCATCAATGCACAAAACTATTTGAGCAAACCTTTAAAAATCTGGCGATAACATCTGCTGCAGATTCTAATAGCTTGGGATTTGGATATATAGAAGAAACACAACATATGCACTCATACAGAACAGCATTTCCTATATTACTGGATGAATCACACTTCCTGAATATGTCACCTACAACAGTATACATATTCTCGCTTGCTTGCTTGTCACCACTACCCAGCAATGCCAGAATTTTCAGCAACCTGATCTGTATTATCAAACTAAGATTTAAATTAACCACATCTCCATAAAAAGAATGGTATATGAGAAAACATAGTCAAAAAAGAACATCACTATAGATTCAAATAAGACCAAGTGATATTATTAAGCTTATAAAGAAACAATATTGAAAATAAAATTGATTCATACATTAACAGAAGTAAATTAGGTCAAATGTAAAATGAAAAACGAGTTATAAGGACTCCTTATACCTCAATGATCATTCACTGAAGGTGTCTCAGGACAACTCCAGAAACTTAACTTCCACAACATGATTTAAATAGCACCTAACTGTAAAAATCTATTATAACAAATGTGCGGGAGAAAATGCTTTGAAAGGTTGATGTAAAATAAGAAGCCGAAACATAAAAATATCCATTGTTATGGTAACCAAAACAATAATGATATGGTAATTATGTCTTTTCTAACCTAGATAAGATTCAAAGCTTAATAAAATCTCAAAGCTTGCTCCTACAATTAATCATTTGTCATAAAGATTGAAAAGATGACTTATTGTACAAACAATCACACACTATAGTGTCCAACTTCCCTTATCACAAGTAAAAAGAAATGAATAGGGAAAATTACACAACATACCTGAATGAACGGGGCAGGCATCTGATGGTAATCATAACTCTTAGGCAATCTACGTTCTGCTACTTGCTTAAGAATACTTACAAAGCTGATCACTAAGTCCTTATAAGAATTGACATCTATTGTAATAAGATCAAAAAGAGGGCAAAGTGTTGCACCCATGACCCCAGGATCATTATCACAAAGTTTCTGCAATAAAGAAGACCGTATTATTATAACATGAGAAAATTCATACAAAACATGAGAAAAGAAAACAAAAATTACTATGAAGGTTCAACTCTACATAAAAAAAACTCCAAAAGGAGAAAAATAGCAACATAATAATATACTCACAAGTCCTTACATGATCAAGTCATTGGTAGAACTGATTGGAATATTCTATTAATTGACAACAGAGTTAGTTATTTGCTATTATCATTATAACCTAAAAAATATGACAATGACAAAAAAATCACTATGAGCAGCAATAAAAATAACTTGTAGTGTACCTCCATTAGTCACCAATTCATTGTAAAATCAGTGATTTGTAATCACAATACTCAAATATGTCAAATCAACTAAATTTAAGTTATTAATCAAATATCAGCAGACAGTGTTCCACTTTTCAATCTATTGTCAAGAACAAACACTAACTAAATAGATAGTCATTCAAATTTCTCAATAGTCCGTTCAGAATAATTCTTGCCTGAAAGAACAGTTATCCAAACAAACTTTAATTTTAATTATTTTTTTATGATAGATTAATTCAAACCCATGATACAATACAAATACTGAAAAAATCAGTCCTGTAATGAGTGTCATGCAGCTCAACACTGATGTTATCCAATTAGTTTGATATCTCATAAACGGCTGCTTCCAATTAGTAGGATCACGATTACAATGCTAAAAACTGAAATAACCCAACACAACCAAAACATCTTAAATAGCACATGCACAAAATAATTCATGAGCAATTCTTAAAGTCATACACTATTATTCAACAACAAACATTTAACTCACATTCCACCCCTGGGTTTAAACTACCATCCTATCAGTCAGCAAAACAAACCTTCCGAAAATTAGAAACAAGATGCTGAACGGAAGACGCCGACTTCTGATAAAACCGATGAAGCGCCATGATCGCCTTCTTCCTAACGGCTTCCTTCGAATGCCCCAACAAATCCACCACCTGCGGCAGAACCGCGGGAATCGTTTCCTCATTTATCAACTTACAAACCGCATTCAACGCGGCACAAACCACCAAATAATTATCCGACTTCAAATCCTTCTGAATCGTATTAACAATCAAGATAATTAAATCATGATCCTCATTCAAAAACAATGTAACAGCCAAGTAACCAGTCCGTTTGAGCACCAAATTATCATCGTGCGTCATCTTAACGGCGTGAATGTACCCAAACGACGCGTCGTGGCCGAGCATTTCGATATATACGAGACGGATAATGAACTCTTTCATCTTCCGTTTAGGGACGTCAGGCTCCGAGATTCGGCGCTTTAGGGTTTCGATCTCGTTGAGCACAATTCTGTCTTCTTCGGCCTTAGATCGGGCCTCACCAAGGGATTTCACGAGGTCGAGGAACTCTTTGGATTGCCCGAACCCGCCTTGGGAGCCCATTGCGAGCTCCCGGCCGATCGTTTTTAATTGCTCCAGTTTGGTTTAATCCGATCGTTTAAATTTGATTGAAATGAAATCAACACTCTGACTAATCAGAGTGAAATTGGGGGGAGAGTTGAGGGTTTCAGTTTGAGAGGGTTAGATCTGGAACGTACATGAAAACATGTGTATGTGTTCGTGAGAGATTTCTGTTTCTGCACGCTTGATAATTTGTGCATCAAGGAAGAAGACAAACGTTACTGCAGTGCTGTTAAAAAGTGCTTTTTAAATAAGTGCTTTTTATTATTATAGTTTTGAGTTTATATTTTAGCTTTAAGAAGCCCACATGAGCCCAACTTTAATCATTGGGCCTGATTGGGGCATATTGGGCCTAGTTGGGCCTCTAGTCAACCACTGTCAGGCCCAATACGCTCTATATATACACTACTTCGATGCTGACTTGGAAAACATTCTATAAAACAGGACAACACATTAAACTGAAACAAACGTATTCTTTGCTTCATCTTTGCCCGAACTTTCACCAAACAAAAGCGGTTACAAGATCTTTCTAGAAACTCAATCGAACATTTTCATTTTCCTTCACTTTCCTTTCGCAACTTTCTTCACTCGCTTACTGCTCTTCTTCTTCTCCTCAAAACTGTGCCTTGTTATGCGAAAAGACGGAGGCATGGCGACTGCGAATTCAAAAGCCGGAGTGGAATCGTATATCGGAAGCTTTATAAGCTTGATTTCCAAGTACGAGATTCGCTACGAAGGCGTTCTTTATCATCTCAGTGTTAGTGATTCCACCATTGGCCTTAAAAACGGTGCGTTTTCCGCTCTCTTTTTTCTACATTACGTTTAAGAATAAAAAGTAGAGGAAAGCTTTCGAAGTTTGAAATATGTGTACGTAAATTGAGCTAGGGTTTCTAGAATTTTTTATTGAGGAATTTTGTGTGATTTTGATGACATGGCAGTGAGGTCGTTCGGTACGGAGGGACGGAAGAAAGATGGACCGAAAGTTGCTGCGTCCGATAAGGTTTATGAATACATTCTGTTTCGTGGAAGTGATATTAAGGTGAGTTGGAGTGTGCTTGTTCATTGTACGAAAATTTATTTGTTTCAGGGAGCTTTAATGTTATAATATAGTTGTTTGCTTGTTAGTTGTTACTTGTTCGGAGTTGTTTATTCCTTTTGTTATATCTTTTCTTATAAGAAAAAATTAAATTTAACAGGTTTTACATGAAGTAGATTTTTCAGTGGTTTGCATAAGGGGTTGGTTGAGCTATTAGGCTGTGGTTTACAAAATGCTATGAGTTCCATGGTTCCAATTGTTTATGGAGTTTCAAACTGTGAGTTCCTAAAGCGGATTTGGAGAATATCATTTAAAACAAAAAAACAAAGAAAAAAAACACACTCGGCAGTTTGAAATAAGAATTTTAATGCTGGTTGTTTTTCTCATTTACATTGAGTGTATGTCTTAGCAGTCTTTGGGTATGGATAGNAAGTAGATTTTTCAGTGGTTTGCATAAGGGGTTGGTTGAGCTATTAGGCTGTGGTTTACAAAATGCTATGAGTTCCATGGTTCCAATTGTTTATGGAGTTTCAAACTGTGAGTTCCTAAAGCGGATTTGGAGAATATCATTTAAAACAAAAAAACAAAGAAAAAAAACACACTCGGCAGTTTGAAATAAGAATTTTAATGCTGGTTGTTTTTCTCATTTACATTGAGTGTATGTCTTAGCAGTCTTTGGGTATGGATAGTTTAATGTTTATGAATCTTGAATGCATATCGACATGCATATGGATAGACTAGATAGGCATATACAGATAACTTCTTGGGGGTTATAGATTATAATTTTTAAAGTATGTGTGTTGACTTCTATTGTTTGTTTATATCAGGATTTGGAAGTTAAGTCCTCTCCACCTCCCCAAAGAGAGGAGCAGATTTATGAAGATCCTGCTATCATTCAGGTATTTGCATGTGTATAGATGTAAATACTTAATTAATATTTTGGGGTCAAACTGGAAAATTCACTTTTTTTCTTTTTTGGCTATCCGTTTCAGTCACAGTATGCTGGGGTGCCTTTGAATTCTCCACCATCAGTATCAGTTGGGGGTAAAACTTTAATGGAATCCATTCCATGGCAGGATACTCCTGCTTTGACTACCAGAGATAATCCAGGTGCATTGCCTACATATCAGCCTGTAACCCAGGTGGGTTCGCTGAATCAATCTCAAGCTACCAAGAATACTGGTGCACCATCGTTTGCCACACCAATGTATTGGCAAGGGTATAATGGAAGACCTATTAATAGTTCTCACTCTCCACTGCATCCTATTTCTTTTCATTCCCCATCCACCATGTCATCTCCCTTGACAATGCAGAACGATGCACAGAATCCTGAGATTGAGGCTTCTCCGATATTGGGATTGATAACTGCATCTGAGTGTGGGCCTTCATCAATTGCATCTACTTCCTTAAATCCTAGTTTTTCATCCCCTCCCGGTATGCCATTCTTGTCTTCCTTTAAGGCATCTCTACCATCTCCTGCCCCATATATGACTGACAACCATCTAAATATGTCCTTGGTTCCTTCCTCTTGCCATGACACAAAAACTGTTGACGATCAAATTGCTGGCAAACCTAACACTGATATTTTAGTGGAACATCCTGCCCAGTCAATGCCCTATACTGCATCATCTTTTCCTGGTCGTGCTTCAGGCCCCTTGCTAACACCACCTCCATCTTTGTTAACTCCGGATCAGTTAGTACCAACTAGACCACCTGTGCTTTCTTCCACACAGAAAATGTATGCCGATCAGAAGGATATGGGTGCATTCCCACAAACATCATATAACCCTCAGTTTGCAGTATCTACCCCAGTAACTCAAGCACCATTGTTGCCATTGCCAACTCCTACGCTACAGGTAAGGACTTTTTTTTAATTGAATTTTGGTAAAATTTATTCTGATCAGTTGCTCTTCTTTGTGGGTACTAATTTTATGCCGCTCTCCTAAACACTAGTGTGCATAATTGCCTGTCATTTCAAGGCTCTGTAGAAATGTCTGATTAGTCATACTTGGATCTTATTTTGCCAAGATTAAAAAGTACCTGTAGCATATTTCTTAATTTCTTAAACATAAGATTAATTTTTATGAATCCTGTTGAGGAAATGAAGGTTTGTGCAGAGATTATGTACTAAAGTTGAATTTTTAAGCAACTGAAAAAGTTAGATGAGAAACTGTGCTTTTCCGGCAAGAATTTGAATGCAATGCCTAACACTGTCTTATGCCACCAACACCACCGAAACCGATCATATGTTGATGTATAGCATCTTCTTGTTTTATATGTATAAAGAATAGGTATGTGGATTGTTTGACAGCAGATGCAGTTTGTTTTCCTTCAACATTATGAAACTTTGGAGTTGCTACGGTCTCTTATAAGCACATTTGGTTACTATGGTTTTCTCAGTCTTGCTTTAGGTTGTCATGTTAATGTGTGTCCTTTCTTGGCTAAGAAATTAGTATTTGATTGCTTGGTTATGTGTTCTGATTCTGATTTTTATAGCCAGCATCGGAGTAATTCAGTAATTATTGTACTGCTTGCATATGCTGTAGACCTTGTTTTCCTTCATTTCTTGATTATGAATGTGAAGGGTTGTCATTGCTTCTTTAAACTTCCAAGGATAATAAAGGTGATTTATTAAAATTAGTGAAGTTTCTAATTACAATAGTGTTGATTTTGCAGTCTCGGTACTCTAGTACACAGTTTACTGAAGAATTTGATTTTGAAGCCATGAACGAGAAGTTTAAAAAGAATGAAGTTTGGGGTTCTCTTGGAAAGGCAAAGCAAATTGATAAACCAGAGGATGTTGAGGATAAAGCAGCTGGCCAGGGCTTGGCAGATAAAGAGGCTTATGCCCCAGTAGACAATTCTGATTGTCAGGTAGGTTTTGAGGCTACGCCCTTTTCATTCACGCAGTTTGAAAGGAACTTGAATGTTTACTTTAAATAAACTTTGATGTGTATTTTTGTGTTTTTCTGTGCAGCCTGCATACAAGAAGGATGATTTTTTTGACACAATTTCTTGTAATTCACTTAATCGTGGAATGAGGAATGGACAGAATCGTTTCTCTGAGAGAATGAAGCTGGATAGTGAGGTTTGTTATGCTTAATCTAGCTCTTACATGTGAGAAATGAATATCAAATTTAGCAAAAAATTATTGTACTGGGGTGACTTCTTGATTTCCTGTTATTGTTTTTCGTACAGACTTTTGGCAACTTCAGACAGAGACCTCATCTAGGTTATGGTAGCTATGGTGCTGGACGAGGCGATAGTTACCGGGGCTCATATGCTGGGGGAAGAGGATATGGACCATATGGTTATGATCGGAGGGGACGTGGTGGGTATATGCATATCTAATGTGATATGAGTTCTATATTCGACAAAAATCCGTGTCCATCCCATTTCTGCCTTTTATCCATATCTTCTTTTCAACCTTTGGCTTTATGAATAACTGAACTCGAGGTAAAATGGTTTGAGTTCATGTTTTTTTGGTTTCTTGCCCATGAGCTGGCCTTTCACATAGACTAGTTGAGGGAAACATTGTCCTCTTATATGAAAAAAGAATATAATTAGCTCATTTAGATGAGTTAATGAATTCTTTGTTTTCCTTCTATCTCTATTAATTAGGCTATCTATGTAACTAATGCACCCAGGCTTCATACATGTAATCCTGTTGTAGTACCACGAGGAAAGGTTTCTAGGACGCCTTATACTGATCATGATGTAATATGTGAATTTACTTTTACACATAACTTTTGAAATGGATTTACTTTGTTGCATCTGCAAGATGTTGAATACGTTCCTATTACATGTTATTGTTCAAAGTATGTTTTCTGTGAAGCATTGCCGGTTGGAAATCTGGGATTGAAATTGATCTTGTTCGGTCCTTTGCTGATGCTTGCGTGCAGAATGTGGTTGTGGGTACTATCTATCTTTTTCTGATCTGAAACTGGACTAGCGTACATGTTATTGTTTACAGATTTGTTTGAAAAAATATGGTTCTGTGGAAGTCACTTTCAAATGTCTGCTACTTCTCTTCAACTCTACTTCTGGAATTTAATTTGACTGTTCTCTCAGCATGTTTAGGAGATATGTTTAAATAAACGTTGTGTGTCATCAAAACTCATGAATCATTTAATAAGCATGGAATGAAAAGGAAGTGTTTATTTAATTTAATGTTTTCAAAATTAAATAAAACAATAAACCCTTCTGGTGATGGGTTCCACGGTGTATTGGTGGGAGGTCCATCGTAATCAAATACAAAGATGAGTGGGAAAATATAATACAATTGTACAAGTGAACTGTCTCTGTCGTTTTTGTTGAAGATCAAAAGAGCTTGGTGCCCACTTTGGACACCCCCTCTTTTATTATTCAAATATCGTCGCCTGGTGTAGCTCTTACTTGGTGAAGCTCTGAGAATGGCTTTTAAAAATTGCCCATTTGTGTATTACTTTTGTTATTTTCATCCAGTCTGTTGTGCATGTATTCTTCGACCTTGTTCAACATAACTCTTCCTTCTCGTTAAAAACGCTGCAACCAAAGTTGAACCTAGGCTAACCAGCGCTAGACCCCCTGAGCCAATAAACACACCCTCTTTCACTAAATAGCACTCTCGGTCCAACCACCCTTGCCCATATGCCTGCCTCCTGCTCATACTCGTGGCTGTAGTTATCAAAATAGCAGCCACTCCAAAGCACATCCTGTGACATCGCCAAAATCAAAACTTATAATATTCTTATAATTATAATTACACCTTCTAGGCTTCGGATCTCAGACCCAATTAATAATCTCAGCCTTCTCCAGCTGTCCAATTTTCTAAATACCTTCTATTTGACAGCCTGGGTTCAATCAAAATGCCTAATTTTTTTGTATTTTATGGATGCCAGAAAGTCTAGAATCAATCAGAGAGTCATATCAAATACGTAGAATATGACATTTTTTTTTTATTTTTCCATGGCATATGAAGTGGGTCCATTTTAAGTTGTGGGATGGTCTGGAATATCTATCAAGAGAATGAATGAACACTTACCAAGAAAAAATCATAAGAATTGTAACAACTGCTGGTGTTTTAGCCTTGTTGCTGCTTCTCTTCTCTCTTGAACAAAAGTTTCCACAGACTTGCAGATTCCCAATAACATGAGCTATACCAAGACACACCAGAGCCACAACTCCATATCTATATGCATGACTCCCTGGTAAATAACACAGCTTTCCATCCACCTTCATATCTTTTATCTGCAAAAACAGGAAACAGTTAACAAAACAAAACTCTCTCAACAGAAGCAATCTCCATAAACTTAAATATCAACCTTACCTGTGCTTTCTTACTCTCAGCAATAAAACATGAAACGAAGGTGGCAAGGCCGAGGGAGATGACTGTAATGAAGGTTAACACAAGGCTGTACTGGTGTTGTTTCTCCATGGAGGATTGTGTTGGTATGAAGGTGAGTTGGATGGATGGAATTAAGAAAAAAGGACAAGTCTTGGAACTTACTCAAGGGATAGAAGAAGAAAGATAAGGTGGAGTGAAGTGGGTGTTGATGTTGGTACTTGTTTTGTTTTGGTTTCCTCTTCTGGGGTTGTTGAATCTTCCGTCCAATCAACAGTTACATTGCTTTGAAGAAGAGATACCATTCCTAACCGTATGTAGACAGCNACTTACCAAGAAAAAATCATAAGAATTGTAACAACTGCTGGTGTTTTAGCCTTGTTGCTACGTCTCTTCTCTCTTGAACAAAAGTTTCCACAGACTTGCAGATTCCCAATAACATGAGCTATACCAAGACACACCAGAGCCACAACTCCATATTTATATGCATGACTCCCTGGTAAATAACACAGCTTCCCATCCACCTTCAGATCTTTTATCTGCAAAAACAATAAACAGTAAACAAAACAAAACTCTCTCAACAGAAGCAATCTCCATAAACTTAAATATCAACCTTACCTGTGCTTTCTTACTCTCAGCAATAAAACATGAAACGAAGGTGGCAAGGCCGAGGGAGATGACTGTAATGAAGGTTAACACAAGGCTGTACTGGTGTTGTTTCTCCATGGAGGATTGTGTTGGTATGAAGGTGAGTTGGATGGATGGAATTAAGAAAAAAGGACAAGTCTTGGAACTTACTCAAGGGATAGAAGAAGAAAGATAAGGTGGAGTGAAGTGGGTGTTGATGTTGGTACTTGTTTTGTTTTGGTTTCCTCTTCTGGGGTTGTTGAATCTTCCGTCCAATCAACAGTTACATTGCTTTGAAGAAGAGATACCATTCCTAACCGTATGTAGACAGCTTTGGAATATTTGAGATGCTCTATTTCTGAATTATGAGTAAATTTTTTCTTGTGTGACTGGACTCTAGAGCTGGTCAACTTTGGTTGGTTTTGAGGATAAGTGAAGAAAAAGAGAGAGAGGTGACAATACAATAAGAAGTTGATAGGTTTGGAGTTATGTTTTTGATCCTTTTTCATGGGAACCGAAGTGGGTTTATTTTAAAACTAAGATTTGCCCTTTTTGAGTGAGACTTACATTAACAAAAAATATGGTAGATACTAATTTTGATGGAGCCATGCTTCTGGAACCTGATTCTCTGTTAAAAAAAAAAAATAAGAACAATAATATAGTAAAAGTAAATGCCTGCATTTCACAGTCATGAATTTGGTGATGCTTTATGTTTCTTCATAGAAACTTCTTTTAAAGGTCAGCATTTTGTTTTCCCCCGTTGAATGCAGGGCATCTGATTCTGATAATTTTCTTCCAACATGTGATGTTCTTCAATCCATGGCCGTAAATTATGGCGTTATTGGCGTTGACCTTGTAAATATCCTAAGTATTTACACACTAAAATGCATGAAATACTGTTAAAAAAATGTAAAATAAAATAAAAACACCAGTCATCAGAAGGCCTTAAAACCATTAAACATGCAAAGAAGATGCTTTATCAACACATATACCTTCTCCCACCTTCGTTCCTAACTTACTCAGCTGCCACCAAACTGTGGACCCCCTAATGGCGGCCTCTTTCTTTTCTGAAGAGGTCCAATTATGACCCTCTACTTTATTGGCTATTGATTGTGAAAAAGTTTGATCGAACTTGTACTGTTCTTGTCTTGCAAGTTTCATTAAGATTCTGATCTAAATTTTTATGCTTTAACTGGTGCAATAAATTCAACCAAGAGAATAGTTTCCTTAAACTATACATTATTGGTGAAAACCTATAAATGCAGATTACGTGTTCTTTAGTATAATGAATATGACTCAAGTTGTTTTTCAAAGTCTTGATAAATCAACTACTTTTTTGGTAGATTATATCGTTGACTAGTGTTGACGAAGAAAATTAATGGCAGAAATGTTTTGGGCAAGACTTCGAAAGCTGACAGGACCCAGTAAGTCCATATAGAAGAAGTCTATTAGGGTTTGATTGAGAGTTTTATACTAGGGGTTACGAAGGTAAACCGCTGTAGCGGTTTTGAGAGTTTTTAGTAACGGTTTTTAAAACATCCAACCTGAATTTGGGAATTTACTTTCCAGTGATTCTGACAGTTTTTTAAAATGATAAATTTATATATATACCCATAAAAATAGAAGCTAAAGAACGAACAATCGAATAAAGAGAAGAAGTTGAGAGAATTGAAGAAGCTGGAGAACGAACAATCGAATGAAAAGAAGTCAAAGTTTTTTTCTCTTTCCTTCTGTTTTATGCGTTTTTTATTGACAATAGTGATTTTTGGATATAATTAAAATAGTTTTAATAGTGGATAAGATATTTGTGGAATAAAAGTTTAAAACCAACCAAAACACCTAGATTTGGGGGGTTATATAAACCCCTCAAACATACACCACACTAATTCTGAAGGGTTTTCGAGCCAATCAAAACTAAACTAATGCATAAAAATTCTGGCAAATAATGATTTTAGAACACTTTAAAACCAATCTATTTAAAAATCACTTAAAACCACTAGGAAAAAAACTCAGAAGCGGACCCTTAGATTGGATTGAATTTATTCTTGTTTTACAACTTGGAGAGAACACAGAAGCCAAGTTGACGATGTTGAAAAACTTTACATTAAATTAAAATCCACACAGCCAAGTCAATCAATACCTACTCTTTTCCTCCTAAGAACGTCAAGAACAGATTGTGCAGTGCAGTAGGCAATTGCTTGCACGGTGATCATTGGATTCACACCTAATGCAGTTGGAAACACACTTGTGTCTGCCACATAAAGTCCTTCTACTTCCCATGTCTCCCCCATTTGGTTCACTGCTGATGTTTTTGGATCATTTCCCATCCTGCAACTCCCCATTTGATGAGCTGAACATAGGGGTGTCGACAAGTCCCTCAATGGCCTAGAACTCTCTTCTTCCACAAACCTTTCAAACTCATCTGCACTCACTTGCTTCACATTTAGTTTCCTCCCCTTAGGATGATGTGTCCCAATTTCTTCTGCTCCAGCTGCAGCCAATGTCCTTAGCATTTTCTCTAGTCCTCTCTGCAGATTCTCTTCATCAGCAGCATCGATTTGATAACTTATTGAGTTTGGTGAATTCACTATGCCTGATCCTTTATCCCTCGCCAACGCAAATATATGCGCTGTCCTGGAGAACTTGCACATCCGCGTTTTCATGTCTTCACCCGAAGTCCATGGCAACAGACTTGAGAACATTCCAGGATGTAATGAAGGTGTTTGAATTAGTGCTCCATATCCTAACTTGTCAAAATTAGCAACAACACTAGACATAGTTGTTATTATTCCTCCTTCATAACTCTTCTTCTCCTTCTCTGGCCATCCATTACAAGGTGTATCTGGAAAATAGCCCCATGCCATTGTCACAGGATGAAGATGCAGGTTGTTGCCAATATTATCATTCTTCAAGCCACTTCTTTTTAACAGAGCTGGGGTACTCAGGGCACCACATGCCACAATAGTCACTTTAGATTCAACTATGCAGATGTCTTTTACTCCATTGTATTTAAATTCAAAAGCCACTCCAGTTGCTCTGTCACGATTTCGTCCTTTCTTGTGTAGAACTTTTATTGCCTCACATCCAGGAAGAATGGCACTTTTACCAGAATTCACCAAGTCCACAAGCCATGTCTCTGATGTACCCTTCTTTTTTCCATCCTTGCAACCAAAACAACACCAACCACAATAATGATCCGGTGGTGCATTTCGCGGTACATTTTCTACTGGATAACCCAATTCTTCACACCCTCTTCTTAAAACTGCATTATTGAATCCTTCTTCAACAGTTTCCAACTGAACTGCCATTTTCTCACACACTACATCAATTGCATCCCTGTACAATTTACTCTCAAATAACTCTAATTCAAGCTGGTCACTCCATTCATTAACCACATGTTGTGGAGTCTGAATTGAAGCTGACCAATTGACTGTAGATCCTCCACCAACAGTAGAGCCTGCAAGTAGTACCATTCCTGCATCTTCAGTTACAAGTAAGCCACCATTTAAGTACATTTGATCCAATGTAGGACCTTCAAGAAGTGAAAGATTGGTTCGAGCACAATAATTTCCTTTCTCTAAAACAAGCACTTTGTAACCAGCTTTTGCAAGAACACCAGCAATTACACCACCACCAGAGCCTGAACCAACAACTACTGCATCACATTTAACTACTAAAGAAGGATTGCTTATGCTGCTTGCTGCATCAACTTTTTTGTCCCCAATAGAGACAGCGAAACCAAACTCCCTCAAACTATTAGCAACTCTGTCAACTGGAAGTTGCATACTAATAAGGCCTTTATAAAGAGGTCCATAAAGCACTTCTTCATCAACGTTTTCTTCGATTTCTTCTTCTTGTTCCCTTTCTCCTTCTGATTGTTTCCATTTTCTTGTTTGCTTAGTTTGTTTCTTGAAGGTAGGGTCCGGTCCACTATAGCCAATTGCTTTCCATGACAAGTTCTCATTCTTCTCATCTACCTGAAACAATAAGAGTTTACTGTCACATATATGTGCAAAACTAAAATCAAAGTTTAATTAGTCATAATTATATAAAATTAGCTGGTAATGACCTGAGTGAAGAAGACAAAAAGAATAAAAATCTTGATGGCCTTGTATAAAGTTCTGAGGAGATGGAAATAACTGAGAGACCATGAAAGCAAGATAGCTTCCCTTTGATGTTGAGACAGCTGAGGGAAGCTATGAATAAATGGAAAGTTGGTTGAAAGGCAGAATCTTCCACAAAGTATCAAGCTTCCAATAGATGTCGACAGGAACCATAGTGCCACTCTCATTAACCATTTTCTTGGATGTTTCACCCTCTCACAAAGTAGCCCTCCTACCTACAAATCAATATGCATTAATAAACATTATAGTTAACTTCAAAAACCAAAAGAAAGAAGAATATAAGAATTAAATTATAATTCATTCATTATCATTTTGTAAGATTATGATGTAGGATAACTTATCATAACGAAAAACAACTAAGACTGATCATGCATACCATTTTTATCTAATCACTACGCATAAAAGTTAGTAAATATAAAAGATGAACCAGCTATATATAGAAGTAATAACCTACACGTTCTGGGGTACCAGCCATGGAAGCTGAAGCCTGAAAGAAAGTGGCAACATCATCATCAATGGTGGCGCCAGAGGAGACACTGATGGAGGGCAAAAAGGTGTCACAAATAGCAGCAAGAGAGTCCATTTCACGAGAGGTGAGCGAGTTGACATAAACCCGATGAGTCTCTTTGTCCATGTTGCCCATCTCGATCACTGTTTGCTATTGTTTAGCATCACCCTGCATCTCCATATTTAAAATTTTCAGTCCTAAAAAACTAGCTGAATGCGAGTGTTGTTTTGCTAACTTGAAATGGAGGTGACTTGATAGAGTAAAAACAATCAGAAGGAGAAATCCTGCAACTTACTCAATGGATAAAAGAAGAAAGATAAGATGGTGTCATGCATATGTATGCGTTAATTGTCTTGTTTTGGTTTCAGATTTGTTGAATTTTTATTTCTTCCAAAGAGATACCATTCCTAAGTATGAAGATAGTTTTGGAATAATTTTGATGCTATTTTTGCCTAAAATTTTCTTGTGTGACTTGACTCTAGAGCTGGTCAAGTGAAGAACGGAGAGTGACAATGAGAAAATCTATTAACTTGAGTGAAATAGAATCTGATAAAATATCTCAAATACATTCATAATATATCATCAATGAATTTGAATATTAATTATAAAAGAAACTTTAAACAATACTGAAATATTATTCAAATTTAGACAATTACCTTAAGAATCCATGCTGATTTGATCCTTGGGAGACAATCTATGTGAAATATTTTGTCTTAGAGTTTGAGAGAGAATAAGGAGAAAGAAGAAAAAATTCGTTCAGAAATGAAGCAAAGGTGATGGAAAAGTGAAGGGTTTCTGCTTTAACTTTTAAAATGTATTGATATTAAAATGCATTATTAAGGGGCATTTTAATAGTATGAAAAACTTTTTCAAAAAGCTATAAAATTATTGACTCTAAAGATATACTAATATGGAGAAGACAAAATTGTTTTAAGCATCAACAGAACTAGAAGCACCCATTTGTGGGTCAGAGGCAAATTGAAAGGTAAGCAGTGGGTATATACATTCGGGAACAATTAGCTTATGTGACTTTCACATCAAGAAAAGATAAAGGTAGATTTTGATTTAAATGGAGCCATGCATTGTTCTGCACTACAATCTCTGCAGTAAGTAAAAACAAAAGTTTGCATGTCAGAGACATTGATTAAGTGATGCTTTAGTGTTTCTTCATTTAAACTTCCTGTAAATATGAACGTTTTGTTTTCTCCAGTTGTATGCAGGGCATCTGATTATGATAATGATCTTCTAACATCTGATTTTCTTTAGAGGTTAAATGATGAATTAACCCTTTACTTTATATTGGCTATTGAGATGAAAAAAGTTATAAGTTGATTCAACTTATACTGTGCTCATTTCATAAGGATTCTGGTCTAGATTTTTATGTCTTAACTTGTGTTCTCGGGAAGGATTTAAAGGCTGACAGGACCATCAATCAGTCCATAAACTAACAGTCCCATAGAGAAGATTAAATTGAATTTATTATTGTTGTACAACTTGGAGAGAACACTAAAGCAAAGTTGATTGTGTTTAAAAGTTTTTACATGAAGTAAGATCAACATAGCCAAGTCAGTTAATACCTACACTTTTTCCTCTTCAGAACTTCAAGAACGGATTCTGCAGTACAGTAAGCTATTGCCTGAACTGTGATCATTGGATTCACACCTAAAGCAGTTGGAAAAACACTTGTATCTGCCAGATAAAGTCCTTCAACCTCCCATGTCTCCCCCATTTGGTTCACTACTGATGTTTTCGGATCATTTCCCATCCTGCAACTCCCCATCTGATGAGCTGAACATAGCGGTGTTGATAAGTCCCTTAATGGTCTTGAACTCTCTTCTTTAACAAACCTTTCAAACTCATGTGCACTCACTTGCTTCACATTTAGTTTCTTCCCCTTAGCATGATGTGTTCCAATTTCTTCTGCTCCAGCTGCAGCCAATATCCTCAGCATTTTCTCCAGCCCTCTCTGCAGATTCTCTTCGTCTGTAGCTTCCATTTGATAACTTATTGAGTTTGGTGAATTCACCGTGCCTGATCCTTTGTCCCTCGCCAAGGCAATCACATGTGCTGTCCTGGAGAATTTGCACATCCTCAATTTTATGTCTGTGCCCGAAACCCATGGCATCAAGCTTGAGAACATTCCAGGGTGTAGTGAAGGTGTCTGAATCAGTGCTCCATAACCTGATTTGTCAAAATTTGCAGCAACACTACACATAGCTGTCATTATTCCTCCTTGATAGCTCTTCTTCTCTTTCTCTGGCCATTCATTAGTAGGTGTATCTGGAAAGTAGCCCCATGCCATTGTCACAGGATGGAGGTGCAGGTTTTTGCCAATATTAGCATTCTTAAAGCCACTTCTTTTTAGCAGAGTTGGGGTGCTTAAAGCACCACCTGCCACAACAGTCACTTTAGACTCAACTATGCAGATGTCTTTTACTCCTTTGTATTCGAATTCAAAAGCCACTCCAGTTGCAATGTTACGATCTCGTCCTTTCTTTGAGTTGTGCAGAACTTTTATTGCCTCACATCCAGGAAGAATTGCACTATTACCAGAATTCACCAAGTCCACAAGCCATGTCTCTGATGTACCCTTCTTTTTTCCATCCTTGCAGCCAAGACAACACCAACCACAATAGTGATCTGCTGGTGCATTCCGCGGTATATTCTTTACCGGATACCCCAATTCTTCACACCCTCTTCTTAAAACAGCATTATTGAATCCTTCTTCAACAATTTCTGATTGAACTCCCATTTTCTCACACACGACATCCATTGCTTCCTTGTACAATTTACTATCAAATAACTCAAGCTCATGCTCATTACACCACTCATTAACCACATGTTGTGGAGTCTGAATTGAAGCTGACCAATTGATTGTAGAGCCACCACCAACAGTAGAGCCTGCAAGTATAACCATCGCCATATCATCAGTTCCGAGCAAACCACCATTCAAGTACATTTGATCCATTGTAGGACCTTCAAGAAGCGAAAGATTGGTTCGAGCACAATAGTTTCCTTTCTCCAAAACAAGCACTTTGTAACCAGCCTTTGCAAGAACACCAGCAATTACGCCACCACCTGAGCCTGAACCAACCACCACTGCATCACATCTAACTACTAAAGAAGGGTTGCTTATGCTGCTTGGTGCATTAACTTTCTTGTGCCTAGCAGAGACAGGGAATCCTGCTTCCCTCAAACTACTGGCAACTATGTCTCTTGGAAGTTGCATAGTTATGAGGCCTTTGTAAAGAGGTCCATAAAGCTCTTCTTTATCAACATTTTCTTTGCTCTCTTCTTCTTCTCCTTCTGAGGTCTCATATATAGCTTGTTCCAATGTTTTGCATTGATTGGTTTGTGCCTTGAACTTAGGGTCTGGTCCATTGTAGCCTATTGCCTTCCATGAAAAGTTCTCATTCTTCTCGTCTACCTGANGAATGGTACAATCAATGTATTCGCATGTATTACATTAGTTTTTTCTCGTACATGTTTCAACAACAAATATGATTTGTGATTTCTAAAATGAACATCTATGCAATTGAAAAGTCTATAATACAATTAAAGAATGCATTACAGCATACCAATAAATAAATTTATGTCATATGTGTATTAATTTTCTCTCGTCTCTTCTAACATTTAATATGATTAACGAGTTTTAAAAGCATATATATGCCATTAATCTATTGACTTAACGTATAAATAACGTGATAAACCAGAACGTTTTTATGACTTAATTTTTATTTGAACAAAATATGAGGTTAGATTAATGGTTAATAATTTAGAATAGAAAGGAAAACAAATATCAAGATGCGGAAATTCATTTGGTAATTCTACATATACAAAATTAGGATCTCAATTTTGTATCCCAGCCTATATATCTGATTTGACGAATTATTTCATTTAGCTCGTTATCCTATAATTATAAAGATGTTATTAAATCAAGTACCATGTCTTTGAGATTCAAAGTTTGAGAGCCCAACTGTTGTTTATTGACGTCTCAAAAAATCTGTATCCATGTAAAAACATGGATAATATATATTGCATAAAGCGTGTCGTCTCCAATATATTAATGACAAGTAGACATAAATAAGAAAAAAAAGATGCATATGTATTACTCATTAATGTATTAAATGGAGTAAGATTCTTATTTTTTAGATTACTTAAAACAGAATCTTTATTGAAGAAATGAATACGGACAAACGGTTGACATTCATTTTCTAATCCTTCCATATGTAGATGCAAGTAAACGTGCTTACCGCTTCTTGGAGAATGGTTTTAGCATTGGTGGTGGTAGTATCGGTGGGGGGAAGGCGAAACTCATGCATCATCCAATCAGTTTTGGTGCCTTTTCCTGCACTTCCACGATAGTATACTAGTGTTTTTTTAAGTCCAATGCACTCTCGCCTTTGTCCTCCATCAGAATGTACTGCCTTATCGATCCCAGTTGCTTTCCAAAATCCAGACCCGGTCACTCTATTTGGCCTTATGCTGTTTCTATATTTTCTCCCTCTTTTGCAAAAGAAGTACCCTTCCTTGTCCAGTGTAGTACTAATTTCTGCATCATAGTTTAGCCATACTTAGTTAACATAACAAGAAGAGGAGTGATGAGTGAATGATTACCAAAGAAGATATGCATGGAAATGCCCCTAAACAACAAATTTATTAATAAAATAAGTGATCGAGATGCACCAAGTAACTAAAACGTACGGTTAATATTTTGACTTCTTTGATCTCTCTCAAAACTTATTGATTAAAAGGGTTTATGATCAGTTAATACTTGGAAACAATTTTGTCTTCTCCATGTTATTATAGAATCAATAATTTTATATGAGTAACTACTGAACTCAATCACTTGCTACCATTACTCTTCAGTTTTCTGTTAAAGTCTATCCGGTAGAGGTAGTCAAAATTGGACTGCACTTGCAAACTAAGTATTCAACTCGTTTAGAAACACACAAGGTAGAATCAAAATTATTTATTCGACCCAGTTCTTTAGCGGAATCAAACAATAAGATTAAGCGACTCTAAGTTTCAAAGGCTTTCGATAGTTCGATTTAGGCGCATCAAGCCAAACTATAAGCTCCTTTTTAGGTTAATTAAGAAATTAGGAAACTAATAATATATCCACATATGCTCGTTAAAAACAAATTCAAAAGGAAATTAAACTGAGTATGTGGTCATACTTGGAAGATCCCATGGATCATGCTTGTAGATATCAATCTGTTTGATGAGATCGATACTGATGGGTTTCTTGTCAACTTTTCTGCGAAGATAAAACCCTAAAAGTTCTTCATCCGTCGGGTGAAACCGAAATCCCGGAAGCTGCATCTCATCAACTTCATCCTTAGAGCTAGTCTTGTAGCAAGTATTATTAATTTGTGTGGTCATGATGGATCGATAAACTTTCTCCACAACCTATTCTAAGTTTTTTGTAGCGACGCCAGTTTTGAGCATGAGGTTAATCTTTAATAATGCTAAAGAAAGTCGTATGAGGGTTAGGTTTTTCTTCAAGTCAAGTCCGTCGATCTTTGACTCTGTTGGAAGACTATGCTCTGGAGGAGCACGAAAGATATTAGAATAAGTCTTAGTTACCACTCAGGTTTTACAACTACCAGCAAAATTTTAAGGCTTTCTAAATACCCAATAAGATATAAATATACTATGTCAAATCCCAATTACATGCGATCATTCTTTAATCATCCTATTGGTTGCCAAATTAATACACAAATGGTGAAACCTTTTAGTTTAACTGGGTGCATACTATATAAACGTATAATAGTGTTACATGTATCGCATTATCGAAATACTAGCTACAACACTAATTAAATTAAATTTAGACTAATTGGAAATTTCATTTGTGTATGTCCTGGTCACTAATTTGAAGATATTATGAAATGTTTATATCAATATTACTAGGTGTTGAGATTTTTGTTCTCTTTTCTGTGTTTCATACTAATCACTAATTTGCATAACCTTGAAATTTGTTCAAATAAAAGTTGGACCTTGAGACAATCAGGTTCATGTGGAGGAGGTATGAGGGTGGCATGCTAGTGGACCATAATGCAGGAAAAAAATCAGCCAAATGATAAAGGAATAAGACCCTGTCAAGTTTGAATGCATCATTTTATGATTTGAATTTTATTGAAATTTCAAAACATAAAACAAGACACNTCGTTGACGGTGGCGCCGGCGGAGACACCGATGGAGGGCAAGAAGGTGTCACAAATAGCAGTAAGAGAATCCATTTCACGGGAGGAGAGTGAGTTGACATAGAACTGAGTCTCCTTCTCGATGTTACCGAACTCAATCACTGTTTGCTCTTGTTTCCCACTACTATTTTTCTCCATACGTGGTAAATTTTCAGAGCTAGAGAAAACTTGGGTAATGCTTAACGTGCGTCTCAGTATTATTTATAATACTAAGAAAGAGTAAACCACATTTCCCCACCCAAGGTTTGGCGAATTTACAGGTTCCCACTCCTAGTTTCATAAATTGCAGATTCTCACTCTTAAATTAACACCATTACTTTTTTCTCAAAATAACACTTATATCTCAAATTTCTCTCAAATAACCCTTAGAGGATCCCAGCAAAGCCAAGAATCTGGCCTAATTCCGGCACCATTGGACCTCCTCGACACCACTATTAGCATCCTCTTATCCTCCTCACCAAAACTCCTAACTTTTCCATTTAATTGCATCTCGACGAGATGCCAAAATTTGCCTGGAAAATGGTGAAAAAAATGTGAAAACCTAAAGGAGAGGCAGTGGTGATCGACGGGCAATTGCAGTCAATGATGTTGGGGGTTTTGGTGGGGGGAAGCCAGCAATGCTATTGGTGATCTTAGGGTGGTTTTCGGTGCCAGGACTTGCCAGAATTTGGATGAAATGCCGATTGGCACTAAAAGTGACAACCGGCGATTGGGGGGTTCAATCAGACGAGGAGGTTAGGGGTTTTGCTGTGAGGGTTGAGGGAATTATAATGGTGGTATCAGGAGGGGTCGATTATGCCGAAAACAGGTCATAATGGCCTGAAATTATCAATGGAGTGAATTTGAATAGTGAATGATTATTTTAAAATTTTTATCTTTGAAATGACCATCTTTCTTTTTTAATCGTTAGATAAAATAGTTATTTGTTAATTTAAGGGTGAGAATCTGTAAGTTATGAAACCAAGGTGGGAACATGTAGATTCGCCAAGCCTTAGGGTAGGAAAATGTCTTTTGCTGACTGAGAAATTAAGCTGTAAATTAAATCGAGGAAGAGAGGAAAAGAAAGAGAGAGAATTGAACACACACGTGGAGATGATGATCAACCAAATGTGGTGGTCACAGAGAAGTAGTGTCGAGCAAAGAAAACTTATAAAAAAATAAAATGAAGTAAATATAAAACTTTTCTTCTCTTAACTCACCGCATCTGCCTTCATTTAATATGAATATATATCGCTATAAGGGCGTTACTTTGTTTCAATTTTATATTGAAATAAACTAGTCAGCAATTTGATTGAACATCGCAGCCCGTGGCCCGGTTCATTCTGTATATTTAATTGCTGTATTTTGTCTTCACTATCTCGCCAATTTGATTATGCATATATACACCATGCATGAATTTGTCAACTTAATTTAATATCAACTTACGTTAGAGCAACAGCAATTTGTCCACTTTGAGCAAGTTTAGGTGCCTCAGTAATGGCTTTGAAGGGTGATTATTTAGCTTCTATCATATTTGAAGGATGGCAGACGGCTTTGTGTGGCTATAACTAGTTGAAACTTGAAAACATATGTATATTTTGTTGCTAAATTAAAGCTGTATATTACCATCTCTTTTGTTGTTTTTATATGAATCTTACTTCATCTTTGACTATCAATTGCATGCGGTTCAATCATTTTTGAGTTTTTTTAATTAATTTGACCTTTTCAATCAATTTTTGCAATCTCTTCTCGTTTTATATGCTTTTATATACTTGTTTTTAATCCTCTATATCATCCAGATTCAATGTTGAATAGCTTATATTGGCATCTATATTTTCTTTGGTGTATATTATCAAAATGAATACATTAATTAATGAATGAATGATATCATCATATATAAGTAAGAGTTCACCTTCAATTATGTCCTTTCTTAATGTAACTTAATTTCCATTAATCGTCTTTTAATTAATAAGACGATAATGCTGCAATAGCGATACCCAATTCACTCATAAACATACATATCAAGCTGTAACAGTACTGCATTAATAGGCCGGTTATGAGTTCTTATCAAAAATTGGTAATGAGTTCTTATCAAAAATTGGTAATGAATTTAAAGAAGAAGATACAAATTGAAAGGCTTGATTTGGGACAGCACAGAGGAATGTATATCACTGGATAATAGTGAAACCGAGTCAACAAGACTATACCCATTACGTACAAAAATTGAATTCCAAAATCCAATAATTCGCCACGTAGCATTATATGATTCCATTTTTTCCCTTAAGTTTCGACAAGTACCCCCTGCCATTAAAAGTTCAGTTATAAATCTAATTCGAAGGCAAGAACTCATAGTATTGAAAGCCTGAGAGATACTGCCATATATTAATTTGACGTTCATTATAAAATGCCTTCTTAAAACACTTTTTCTGATCAATCATATAATTTTTCATAAAAATATATTTATGAGCTTTGGCAAAAGTAAAGTCTTGGAGGCTGCCAATTCATCAGTGATCACATATTGCAAACCCAGAAAAATATTATATTGTTTACGTACTCAAATGCCAACGATTTGCCACTGGGATTTAATTTGAATGCAGACACAGAGACAGAATATAGTTTTTGGCTGACATTTATAATAGCTATGTGTCCTTCTAGGGGTTTGAAAACGCATAGAAGTGAGAAACTCTAGCAACTTTGGGAGTATCGATCGTTATGCCAGGCTTTCATGCCTAATATTTTTAATGAGAATTAATATATAATATAATTAATTGATTAGGTCAATTTGCAAACCAGTCTCTGCAGTGCAGTTGAAGTTAATTCCTTATCGCTATTATTGGTTTGCTATCGCCGTGGCAATGGTGCTTTGCTGTCAATGCATTTTCATGCCATGAAATTGTTATGCCTACAAAATTGTTATGCCTAAAAAAAGTAAGGTTCATGCAGAGTCTTGTCAGTATGGGTGATCAAAGTTTGAAAAAGTTTTATGGCCACTCAGATGTAATCACATCGCTTGATGATGTGGGCGGTATGCTCATGCCAGTGTAATAGGTGCATACCAGGTTGGCGAAAGGTGGAAAACGATCCACGTGTCCGATCCTTGTACGAGTCGAAAAAATCACTCTGACAAATAAGCAATGGGATACAGAGATGAATTTGTACAGCATCTACCCCACTTGCAGATTTAGTAATCATTACCTTGGTTCATTCTACTATAAACAGAAGACTTCTCTTCGATTTATAGGATTAGCTAATTTCACTCTAGAGTAGCATACTCTCTCTATCTCTCTCATTTGTATTCTTCAAATTATAACTCAGTTTGCCGAACGCAACCTGACTTCACTCATTAATACAATATTAGTGGACGTATGATTCACCTTGTAAGCATCCGAACCACTTTAAACATTGTTTTTCACCTCTCAATTAATTAAATACTTCTATAATCACGTGTGACTTCTGAGTCCACTTAATATTTCTCACATGCAAATAGTTGGTGTCAAAATCGAGCATCAACAAAAATCAGAAAAATGCCAGAAGTTTCAGTCCATGTCAACTAGTTTTCACCTGCTCTTATATGTATTATTTTGATTAACAGTTGGTTAGTTTTATTAATTTAGTAGTAATTTGATTGATACAGGTTCAACAATGTCAGCCTAACCTTGCGTAATTGCTAGTTAATTAATGGAAATATTCTCCAATCCCTGCAGAGTCTCTGCATGCCTGCCTGCAGCCGATAGATTCTTGCAGCCAGCCAAGGCAAATTGTATATTAACTTTGACGCCGCAATTGCAAGTTCATGATTCATATTTTACCACTTTGAGCAATTTTAAGAATTAACTAAGTTTAGTCAATTCAATTATATCTCCATCTTCTTCTGAACTACTACCCATTTGATGTGATATCAAGGTCGCCATCACAATTCAAAATGAACACTATATATATATATATAAGATTACGTAATATCAATTTACATCTTCGTTCAATAATTATGCATTCCATTAAACTATTGACTTTTCATATATGTATTGATTAGCATTTATTAAATATATTATCTATTAGATGATAGTTAATCTATTAAATATAGGTGATCAGTTATATCTCACACTCACATTGTTAGCTAAAGAAGTTTGAGATTCAATTTACAAAGTTCAGATTCTTCTAACTTAATAGACGTATTCTAGGTGAAATACTTTTACGTAAAATTCAAAAATAAACTTGTAGAGCATAAACCAAAAGAGAATAATATCCCAATTTGCCTTTTCCAACGAAATAATTAATAATATTAATTAGTTTGGAAATTTTTTTTTTTTTTGGGAGAAGGGGTGTTCAGTCCAACTTGCATACACTTCAACTAATCCACTGAGGCTTGAAGTTATGACTAGATATACCCTTAAGTGATCACTCCTATTATTAATCGAGAGAAATTGAATTCAAGACATGTAATACACTCAAGAGTCTTTACCGTTTCACTCCGCCACCAATAGTGGTTAAAGATGGTGACAGGTTGTCTACTTGTAGACTGAAAACCAAGGCGTTGAAATAATTCATAATAAATTTAGGTGGTTGTGTTGTTTAAATAATTATTCATAAAGACGAAGTACTGACATATCTACCAAAATTACTTCACCTTAAATATTGTAAAATGCATGCAGCGTATGTAAACCACAGTTCTGAATTCATCTTCTGCACTTTTATCTACTTAAGGACTCTTGTTAATTTCCTACAGGCGATAATAATATATCCAAGGACCTCCAAATTGACCTTCTTGTAGCGCCAGATTCAACTCTTCAAACTGGTCCGGATCATGCTAAGGATTAACATTATCCCATAACAATAACTACGGTTCTCGTAGTGCAAGATTCTCTACTCTTTCAACATCTATTAGTGGACCTTGCAGAAAGCCCAACATTCAGAGGCCCATCCCAAATTATGTACGTAAACTGATCAACTACATAGACGCCTCCTTCACCATGTTCAGAATCCTGTTTAAGGCGATGAATTAAATTGTCCAAGACACGTTTACAGACATGAGAGCAGATATGAGAGGAGAAGGGTGGAGAACTCCTGATGTACCTGTAAGGTTGCGGCGGAGGGTACGCCAAGTTGCGCTACAGGGGAAGACGCTTATGCCTTTACGTTTGTTTGGAAAGATTGATCGGCGAATGCGGTTTTTTGGCGGTCTGCGAAGACTACAGAACAATTGTGGTAAGCGAGGGTGTTGTTGGTGATGAAAATGGTGGGTTCGGAGCCTATTTTTATGGTGATGATGGGGCCGTACCTTTTGCGAAGACTGGAGACGATTTTTCCTAGTCCGAAGAAAGGTTTTCGATGCCATAAGAAGTTGGCAATGAGGTGAGGTGCGGAAGTTCCTGGTGGGAGCTTTTTGGCATGGATGGTGAAGCTAATTAGTAAACAAATGCAGAAGGAGATGACGATACTAATACCAGTCTGCATATTCATGGGAGAAGAATTAAGGTTCTAAGAACAATGCCTCATTATGTTTCCGGGGTACAAAAAGTATATTAATTTGACATTAATGTTCAATTAATTTACTATAATTCGTTCTAATGATATATTTTTTGCTTCGTAATTAACCTCATTGACATATGTATAAGATAACTTTGAAATTGAAATTGATAAAAAGTGGAGAGTAGAACGGCTTTGTTTCTCTCTTCATTTAGTCGGTGTTTATTCCTTATCTCACGGCAAGTAAAGCTTCGAAATCTTGAAGTAACTCAGTATTCTTTAAAGATTATATAAAGCCCTGATACCTTGAATGTCATCGCCATGCAAGTTCTATTTGTCACTCCAGGGTGAATAGTAGGGAACATGACAGCTCCCTCAACTGAGCTATGTCCCAGTCCAAGAAGATGCCCAATTTCATGCAATGCGACGCTCTCCAAGTCGATTGCACCTTCTACTGCACCCACATGCCATGTCTCATCCGCATCATAATGGGACCTCCCATCGTCTGGGGCAAAAGCATGAACTAGAAATCCACCATGCCCATCAAAAGGACTGCTATCTCCATGATCTCCATGGTGGAAACCAATCGTGAGATCTGCGTTTCCAATGTCCTGAGTCACTGAGAATGTGAAATGAGTGTTTCCAGCCCATGTTGTGAAAGCTTTAGCAACAGGGTTCATGGCATCCGCAGGGGACCCCGCAAGGAATGCACAAGTGAGATGGTACTCGTTTGCTGGCCACTTAGGGTTTCTGGGTAAAAATTCACGGTGAGCGACTGGAAATGGCCAGAGGCATTTCGCCTTTTGTGGCCAGACCGCATCCGAGTTTTACCATTGACAATATCTGCCATTCCACATCGAGGCATTATCATTTTGGATACAGTTTTGGCATCCAAAACTCCAGTTTTCTTCAGATGGTAATTAAGCTGGTAGGTTTTGACAGTTGATTCTAATAGCTCATCAAAATCATCATCATTCGCATGCTTTTGATTTGTGGAAAAGCTATAGTTCAAGTAACCAAACTTTTCGAGGTATTTTTTGAGCTCATTGATGCCTTTAACTTTGTCGCCTTTATGACAACCTTGGAGATGATGGATGAACTCAAATGGTGATTGTTTTTTGTCATTGGTGTTGTCTGCTAAAACTGAATATTGAGAGAGGAGAAAAAGGAGGATTACAAATGAGAAGAAGGGAAAAGCTTTAGATGCCATTGCTAAAATCAATTAACTTGGTAGAGAATGTTAATTGGTTGTGCTTGTATCTCACATTTTGATCTCTATATACAGAGTTCTTATAAGATCATTCATTTCCCGAAGTTGAGTGAGTCCGTCCACACACTGTAGTATGACTTTTACCATTTGATGATATTAATTTTTATGTGAACAAGTTATCATAAAATTTACATTAATTCAAAATCAATATTTTTGTAGAACAAGTTTCCTATATATTATCAAGAGAAGACCTCCAGCCAGCAGGAATAGTTAATTTTATATTTCATTATCATTAGATTTCTTACATGTAGATTTGATTTTACATTATGAGAATTAGTATTAGAACCTACATTTAAAGGATATTATAATGAAGGCGCATTTACATTATTGGGGAAGAGAAATGTCATAACAGGATGTTGATCACTACCAATCAGGGGCTGAATCAGAAATTTTATTTTCTGAAGGCCAGTGCATTATATTCACCGAATGAGTTGTAAGATTCAATGGAAAAAGGAGCTGCAGGTATAAAAATTCATATAGCAGTATGTGTTTCTATTTCTCCCTAAACTTTGGACAAGTACCCCCGTTATTAAACAGTTTTTGGTCATATATTTTCAATAAAAATGTGTGAGAAAGGCAAAAGTAAACTCTGGGAGGCCGGCATTCATTAGTGATTACATTGCAGACCTAGCAATATCTTTTTCTTTACGTACTCAAGATACTGACAATTTGCCTCTGGGATTTAATTTAAATGTCAGACACAGAGACAGAATATATATAGTTTTTGGTATGACTCCTTTGCTATGACTGTATCTGTCAAAAAAATTTAACACAACATGCTTTGAGGTCAATGCATTTTCATGCAATCAACTCAGAAAGAAGCAAGAAGTTTCACTCATTAAGTCAACTAGTTTACACTTGCTCTTTTATTTATAATTTGATACACTCCTTCAACAATGTCAGTTTAATCTTGTATAATTGCAAGTTAATTAATGGAAGTATTCTCCAATCCCAACGGAGTCTCTGCTATTTACAGGTTGTTTACAGCTAGCCAAGGTAACAATTTGTATATTTTAACGCCGCAATTGTAAGATCATATATATGATTCATTAGAAAAGAGAAAAAGAATGTACAAAAGACCTATATATAAAAGGCGGTCAACCTATCTCAGGACAATCCCCTGGATTAGAACCCAAAAAAATAGCTTAAAGATATTTTTTCTTGAATTCGTGGGTACTTGACCACATTTGCCATGATCCATTGCAATGCTGTTGTCGTTGTATCAGTTCCAGCACTGATAAATTCATCGCTTAAAGATACTATGTCGCCTTCTTCAAACTTCTTGTTCTCACCTGGAACTTGTAATTCCAATAAGGTATCAACGTATGACACAAACTGATCTATGTTTTCTCCCTTATTTTCACCTTGTTTCATTTTCTCTCTGGCTCTAATCAAGGACAAAAACATATCTTCTCGATCTTTAAGCATATTTACAAACTCATTCCATCGATTTCTAAATAAGATCTTCCCCAAATTTGGCATGATAAGAAACACTTTTACTTTAGGAAAACAGGTAAAAAATTTATTTTGTGAGCATTCAAGCTCCCTAATTGTATTCTCATCAAGATTATCCCCGAAACACATGAGAACTAACAAAGAAAAAATTGTGTACGTAAAACGATCAACTACATGGATGCCTCCTTCATGTTCAGAATCCTGTTTAAGGCGATGAATTAAATTGTCCAAGACACGTTTACGGATATGAGAGCAGGATATAAGACGAGAAGGGTGGAGAACTCCTGATGTACCTGTAAGGTTTCGGCGGAGGGAGCGCCAAGTTGCACCATAGGGGAAAAGGCTTACGCCTTTACGTTTGTTTGGAAAGAGTCGATCGGCAAATGTGGTCTTTGGGCGGTCTGCGAAGATGGCACCATTTAGAACAAGTGCTTGGTAAGCGAGAGTGTTGTTGGTGATGAAAATGGTCGGTTCGGAGCCAATTTTTATGGTGATGATCGGACCGTACCTTTTGCGAAGATCAGAGACGATTTTTCCAAGCTCAAAGAAAGGTTTTCGATGCCATAAGAAGTTGGCAATGAGGTGAAGGGTGGGAGGTCCTGGTGGAAGCTTTCTGGTATTTCTGGTTTTTGAGGAGAAGAAACGACTGAAAATGAAGCTAATTAGTAAACAAACGCAGAGAGAGATTAGGATAACAATACAAGTCTGCAAATCCATGGGACAATCAAGCTTGTAATTAAGGACAATGCCTAAGTATGTTTCGAAACCTGATATATAAAGAGCTTCCGGACGAATGTTCAATTAGCCTCATTGACGTATTCATGTTTAATGTTTTGTTAGTATGTATTTGGTTGCTACGTTAAATACTCTGATTCTTTTGCCGGCTATTGAGGCTCGAGGAACATATATAAACAACAAATGAAAACTTCAGGAATTTGTATTTCATAGTCATTATATTGTAATTAATGTGCTAATTAAAAAGAATCCTTTCAACATGAATCATTTTTATATGTGAGGACAATGAATAGTATTACCAATATTAGTATACATATGTAATATGAACCAATCAAGAAGTTCTTCTAAATATAGTGAACACATTTGCATACCCAAAAAACATAAAAAATAAAGCAATGATGATCATTACTAGTGTATATGGTCTCCATTCCTAATAATAAAGTCTAATCGACTCTCTTTCTCCCTTCATTATTCGGTACCAAAACTCTCATTTATCTTTTCTCACAGTAGGAAATCTTGAAATAACTCTTTAAACATTATATAAAGCCCTGATGCCTTGAATGTCATCTCCATGCAAACCCTTTGTCACTCCAGCAGAAATAGAAGGGAACATGATAGCCCCCTCAACTGAGCTGTGTCCCAGTCCAAGAAGGCCCAATTTCATGCAATGCAACCGTCTCCAAGTCGAATGCACCTTGTGCCGCACCCACTGACATCTCTCATCCGCATCATAATGGAACCTGATGTCTTCTGGGGCAAAAGCATGAGCTAGACTCCACCCTGCCCATCAAAAGGACTACCATCTCCGTGATTTCCACTGTGGAAACTGATGGTAATATCTGCGTTTCCGACGTCCTGAGACCGTGAGAATCTGAGAGGAGTGTTCCAGCCCTGTTGTGAAAGCTTTAGAAACAGGGTCATGGCATCCGCAGGGGTCCTGCAGGAATGCATAGGTGAGATGGTACTTGTTTGCTGGCCACTTGGGGTTTCCGGGGAAAAATTCATAGTGAGCGACAGCATGGAAATGGCAGAGGCATTTTGCCTTTTGTGGCCAGACCGCATCCGAGTATTACCATTGACAACATCTGCCATCCACATCGAGGCATTGTCATTTTGGATACAGTTTTGGCATCCAAGACTCCATTGCCTTCAGATGGTAATTAAGCTGGTAGGTTTTGATAGCTGATTCTAATAGCTCATCAAATCATCATCATTCGCATGCTTTAGATTTCGTGGAAGAGCTATAGTTCAAGTAACCAAACTTTTCAAGGTATTTTTTGAGCTCATTGGTGCCTTTAACTTTGTCGCCTTTATGACAACCTTGGAGATGGTTGATGAACTCAAATGGTGATTGTTTTTTGTCATTGGTGTTGTCTGCTAAAACTGAATGTGAGAGGAGAGAAAGGAGGAGGATTACAAATAAGAAGAGGAGAAAAGCTTTAGACGCCATTGCTAAAATCAATTAACTTGGTAGAGAATGTTAATTGGCTGTGCTTGTATCTAACAATTCTTTTTTTTCTCTATTTATAGAGTTCTTCTGAGATCATTCGTCTCCCAAGTTGAGTGAGACGGTCTATACACGGTAGCATGACTTTTACCATTCAATGATACTTAGTCTTTTCGATGTGAACAAGCTATCAAATTATGCAATGTTTACACTATCAACGAAGATGCCTAGCAGACCACAATTACGTTCATATACAACATATATGACCTGACTTAATTTCCAGCCACAAATTACAAAAAAACAAGACTTGAACTCTATGACAAAGTCTCCTATTATCAAGAGAAGACCCTCTAACCGGCAGGAGAAGTTGCTCCTCTATTTCATTATCATAAAAATTCTTACATGTAGATTTGATTTCACATTATTCGTAGTAAATCTAATCAAACTGAAAGTTTAGCACAGCTTCTAGTGAAGACATTTGCATGATCGGTGGAGAGAAATATCATTCTCTCTGGTAGACTACATGGTAAAGGTCTGGCTGCTTTGTCGAACTTGCTTTGCTTTTGGAATGATGCTAACTACAAAAGAGTAGTAGTCCTGTCTTCATTAATTTGTTCAAAGTTAATTTACTTGACTATAATATTCAACTGATCAAGCTAGAGATGACTGGTCCAAGTCCAGTCTTCATTAATTTGTTCAACGTTAATTTACTTAACTATAATATTCAACTGATCAAGCTAGAGATCACTGGTCCAAGTTCAAAGAAAGGTTTTCGATGTCACAAGAAATTTGCAATAAGTTGAAAAGTGTAAGAGGTCCTGGTGGGAGCTTTTCGGTATTGCTGGACTTTGAGAAGACAAGACTGAAAATGAAACTGTTATGCCTGGAAAAGTAGGGATGATGCAAAGCCTTATTAGCGTTAGCGGTCAGGGCTTAGGTAAGTCCTGTAACCATTCAGACGCAGCTACATCACACGCTGACATAAGCGGCATGCTCCTGCCAGTGTAGTAGGTGTACGCCAGGCTGGTGAAAGGCTGAAGAAGATCCACGTGTCCAACCCTTGCAAGAGTCGAGTAAATCACTCGAGCATGTGAGCAACGGGACGCAAAGAAAGATTTACACAGCAATCTGACCCACTCTCTGATTTAGTAATCATTACCTCAATTCATTCCACTATAAATAGAGGGATCCTCTCCCGTTTATAGGATTAGCTAATTTCTCTCTAGAATAGCATATAGACATACTCTCTCTCTCTTTTGGAAAGTTTGTTACAATCCTTGTCAACTTTAAATCTCAATCATTCATTAGAATAACAAACAAACACAAAACTTTCTATTTGAACCCTTCGATTCAACAGGAACTTTTTTCTGTTATAGCTCACACTTCCTGAGTTGACGAAGAGGAGGCTCACGTGAAACATGTTTTCTGTTACAGCTCATCTCTCCTGAGTTGACGAAGAAGAAGCTAACGTCCACTTCCTGAGTTGATGAAGAAGAAGCTCACGTGAAGTAGCAGAAGCTCGCGTGAAAGAAAGCTCACGTGAGACATGTTGATGAGATGAAAAATAAGTGAAAACGACACAGAAGTATGTCGTTTCTTGCTTGATTCTTTTGAGGCTTGCATGCATGTCAACAAACAGAAACTAATTAGTAGACAAATGCAGAGAGAGATGAAGATAATGATACAAGTCGATCTGCATTTCCATGGGAGAATTAATTAAGCTTCTAATGATAAACTAAAGCCATGTTTGTTAATTATCAAATCTATTTAGGAAAAATACAATTTTGAGTCCGTGATATCATCGATCACAAGTAAGGGTCACCTTTGGTTAACGTTATGCCTGAAAGAGTATATATATATATAGTACTTTGTCTTCAAACAAGAGCATATGTATCTGAGATTCTTATCAGAATTCACAAATTAATTGTATTTTTGTGAATATAATATCTACATAATTATGTTATATGGATTATTATATCGCCTCATTTCGAGTAAAAAATAAAGTTCTTTAAATTAATCAAACATTTCATTGAACTATGTTGCCGTCAAAATGCTACTAGCTTTGCTTATGGACAACTGAAACAAACAACCTAAAACAAAATCTGAATTCTGAAGGAGCCTCTACAGCTATATCATTATTCACGATTGCAAAATTGAGATACAACTAATTGTTTTAAAAGGAGAAATTCATATATATATATATATATGGTCGGACAATTGAGCTAGTTCATCGTGTGTTTGAACTAGTTTATTTGATCGCAAAATATATAGAAATCAAACTACAATAAAAAGAAAGGAAAAACAAAAACAGAGCTTCTGTGTTTCCTCTGCATTTATTCTGGTACCGTAATCTCAGTTATTCTTTTCACTTAAAAGTGAAGCTCCAGTACTCTTCAAGCATTATATAAAGTCCTTATGCCTTGAATGTCATCAGCATGCAAACCCTTTGTTGTTCCTTGAGTAATGGAAGGGTACATGATAGCCCCCTCAACTGAGCTATGCCCAAGTCCAAGAAGATGCCCAATTTCATGCAATGCAACAGTCTCCAAGTGCAATGAGCCTTGGGTTGCAGCCACAGACCATGTCTCATCTGCATCGTAATGGAACCTTCCGTCCGTTGGGGCAAAAGCATGAGCAACGGTTCCGCCAGGGCCATCAAAGGGGTGACCATCTCTATGATCCCCGCTGTAGAAACTCACCGTGATATCCGCATTTCTAGCGTCCTGAGTCTGTGTGAATTTGAAATGTGTATTTCCAGCCCATGTCGTGAAAGCTTTAGCAACAGGGTTCATGGCATCAGCTCGAGTCCCTGGAAGAAAGGCATAGCTGAGATGGTACTTGTTTGCTGGCCACTTAGGGTTTCCAGGGAAAAATGAATAGTGAGCGACAGTATGGAAATGGCTGGAGGCATTGTGGTGTCTTTTGTGGCCAGACCGCATCCGAGTTGCGCCATTAATAATATCTGCTACTCCACATCGAGGCATTGTCATCTTTGAAACAGTTTTGGCATCCAAAACTCCAGTGGCTTTAAGATGATAATTTTTCTGGTAGGTTTTGATGGCAGACTCTAAGAGATCATCAAAATCATCATCATTGGCATGTGTTTGATTTTTGGAGTTTTTATAATTCAAGTAACCGAAATTTTCGAGATACTTTTTGAGGTTATGGATGCCTTTAACCTTTTCACCTTTGTGACAACCTTTGAGATGGTTGATGAACTGAAATGGTGATTGGATCCTTTCGTCAATGGGGTCTGCTAAAACTGAATTAGCGAAGAGTGAAAGGAGGACTGCAAAGAGGGTGAAAGAGAGGAGGGGAAAAGCTTTAGATGCCATTACTAATCGATTCACCAATTAACTAGAGAAGCTCTTGTTAATTGCTTGCGCTGTATGACATGTTTAGATGGGTATTTATATATTTCTTACGCGAGAAGGATACTGATAACGCTAATGGGGACGATATTGCTCAATGTTTTTTGAAGTTGAGTGTATCGTTGCATGCACGTTACTCAGTTGCATGACTTGTACTTTTCTAG